AAAAGACAATTGTATACAAAACTGATGCTTCACAGCGCAGTTTGATTTTACACTGAACATAAACCCTTTTAACCAAATATTTCCAGTTATTTTATTATTTATACCTATTCTATTCAATTCGAAATGTTTTATTTAGAATATTTAAATTAATTTATTTTATTACAAAATTGTTTAAAAAAAAATTGTTTCTTAGTTGTTATGGGTAAAATTTCATACGGTAGTCAACACTGGCCCACCATCGTAAAGTTATGTCTTTGTCTTTGTCTAATCCGAGCGATGGTATTGTTCTTGTCTCGCGTGTAAATGAGACATAAATATGTTTACTTTCAAATGTTTAGTGGTATCAAAGCTACGTCGTCAAAGTTCAAAAGTGGTTACACTTTTTTCGACGTGTGATAATGAGGTTTGCTTCTCTAGTGTTGTTTTAACTCAATGGATTCTCACCCTTTGACCTTAAATTTGAAATAGAGAAACATCCTTATTAGTCGAACAAAAACAAACAGTTATGTTACTTTTATTTTGCCTCGCAAAATTATAAATAAAAGTAAAATAAAACTTACCACAGGTATATAAACGTCAAAGGTCGAATGTCAAACATTTATTGCCAAGAATTAGTAGTCATTCTACTAAAATATATTCATACAGGGCCTAAAGGACGAAGCCGACCTCTCGATAAACACAAAGGGACTACTTAAAAGGCATTAATACATAATCACAAATTAATAGGTCACAAATGTCGGTAAAACAGTGTCAAAAGTGGTTTTTAAAATTGGAACGGCTGGATATTAAATTGTCGTGCCCTTGGAGGTCACAATTTCATTTTCTCTAATGAATAATAACCTCTGACTGTGGTCATATATCTCAGGATTCGTGAAATAATATCTACTCCATGCTTTCTTTAAACGGGCTAATGGTTTAGGAAAGTAGAAGTAACCAAATTTTGCCAAAAATATTATTGAATGAACATGACTCTGAGATTGTGTACTATGACTCCTTGCGCTATTTGACGTACCACTTTGCCGCCAATAAACAAAGACAATCGGCCATCTTACTTCAATTGTTATCCAAACAAAAAGATTTGCAAGTATTTTTTTGGTTAAATCAAAAGTTTAATTGTTAGGAAATATGGTTGTATACATAATGTAGTAACTAAATATTTATCAGCTTAATCAACAGAATTTGCCCATATTCTACCCAACTCTCAGCTAGTATTTTTTATTGGGAAAGTATTAAACTCGTTTAAACGGGTCTAAAGTGAGACTAATGTTGGTTATCTAAATTGGAATCTCGGCTTCATAATGTCCAAGTCATCAGCGTTTTCCGAAAGTGCCCTTCTTAAATACCATGAGACACTTTCTGCTGATTTCTTCATTTTTTTAATAACCTCATTTCGTTTAAAATTTAAATCCTGCCATTTAGTTATCAAATGATGCGGTTTTAAAAAATGCTGTCGTGTATGTTTAATTGGTTGATGTTCTTCCGTGTCTGAATTACCTTTTATCCAGAAACAATATTTTAGTGTCAGCATCAGCTTGGACTAGAATTATTACTAGTTTTAAATTTTGATTTGATAGAAAAGATAAATGCCATTTAAACCAATCAAAATTCTTTTTATCAAAGATGATACCCTTTTTTTAAGATTTAGACCTTTCGCGGGTCTGGCGCTAGCGTAATAATAATACTCGTAATAAGTCGCAGTGGTTTGGTAAATTAGTCACAGGTGTGATTATATGATTTACAAATCATATGATTCAACACAGTTGATTGTGATTTTATTCCATCCCTAGCTTGCATTCTTATAAAATATTAAATGATTTATTTTATAATTCCTAGGTAATATAAACAATGCCGAGTACATTTAGGAAATGTGTAAAATAATTAGGTAGTTTTAATTATACATTTTGTAAAAAAAATATTTATTTCCTTGAAATGTATAGTATAGAATACATACAACATAGAATTAGTGGTTACAGCCTACAAAATAACACAGTAAAAGAAAAAAAAACAGGGAGGAAAAAAAACACAATGTGTAACAAAAAGTTCATTATCTCCACCCCATTAATTGTAATAGCGATACGTTAGCTCTAGTATTATAGATATCCACTTATTAAAGTATAATATTTGTACTAGTATAATAGGTTGTAGCTTACTACAACTACACTACTACAACGACATACACCTACACTTATTATATAGCTCACAAGTGTAATAGTCAAAAAGGGCCTTGAAAAATAATATAAAGGGAAAGTTGACACAGGCAGTAACCGGCGATAGCGGGTGCCTGTCTTCCTAAACTCATAAAAAAAACACAATAGGTAGACTGAAAATCAAAATGTCCACACCAATGTCCGTAAATTTATATACTTTACATCTCTCATGTTCGGTAAGTAGAAAGAAAGAAAGAACAATCGTTTATTTTGGCAATAATACAACAGTTTGAACAATTGCAACTTGGAATACCAACGATGCCAAAAACGGACCCAATTCAGCCTTATGTCAGATGGAAGCCTGACGCTGGTTTTCAATTGGGCCCAAAATGATGCTATGCGTAAACCCTGTTGCAGATCATTAATAACACATGTAGTACACGTTGTATACGTATGTATATCACAACATTAATAACATATAACAATAATATATAACAAGACAAATTACAGATATGCAGATCACAATAAAATACACTACGATATACACAATATCCAACAAAATAAATCTATAATCTCTAAAGTCCCTAAAGCGTAAAGTAGGTTCTTATTATCTCCAAATGGGGCTTGTAAGTGACTAATTAGCGCTCTAGGGTAATAATGTAGCTAGAAAAGCCCTAGGAAGGTAAGTAATTAAAAAAAAAAAACACTTTTTTCTTTCAAAAAGTTCGCGTACATCTAACCATCATACTGGCAATAGACATCATGCATTCAGCCCAATGACCAAAGAGGTCGCTTTGCTATTCAGCCTTGTCTTCGTGTGAGTATAATAGTCATCAATTTTAAATATCGAACGGCGAAGCTCAATTTCGATCTTGAAAAATAACTTAAAAAGTTCTTTACTTGATTCTTTTTAATGAAAAAAGGCGGGAATAGAAAACTTTTACTTTAATTTTTTTTTGTTTTTGGGATTATCTTATAATTACGTGCTAATTAAGAAAAAACATGAGTTCTTCAAGTGATCTTCAATCCCAAAAAACACCTGTCCTTAAAATTTGAAAATTGTTCTCATTTCTCTATAAATTTCAACAAATAAAATGTTTTACTCTTGTAATGCCGGTTTTTTCTACTTACCTCACCATCGAGATGTAAAGCAGAATAGTTAGCTCGGGTGTAAGCATCAATTGCACCCTCGAACTATAGGCGACCTCGCTGCGCTTGTGCTCCTAAATATCTCGGGCTGCAATTGATGCCTTACAGCCCTTGGGTTCTAATCTACTATACCTACATGTTATATGTCAACAATAACATAAAATTATAAATCGTGTATATTGTATAGTAAAATTATTAAATAATTGTATCTCACAATTTTTCACGTTCGACACACTAGTAATACTGCTGCGGATGCTGAATATTTAGGATGAAACAGCGGCACCGCTCCGGCGCCGTACGGCACCGTTAACGCATCGTGTGGCTTTGCTCTAACAGTTTATATTAGACGACGAACTCTTATATATTCAAGAATGTTTTGGTTTAATTAAATTTACATTACCATTATGAAATAAGATAAATCTCTAGAACAGTGTAAAGTAAATTAAATTCAAAAAAAGGAGCTAGCACCGGCATTCGTTGAACAAAGAAAACTAAAACCCGACTATCCTTAAAATACTAACACGAAGAAGAATAAGAAACTTATATATTATTTTTTTATCACTTTAAACAATACGTCATTTTAATATCCCATATACCACACTATAATCGATAGGTTTGGGCAGCGGCGGATTAACTCTAAGGCAAACTATTTTAATGAAACTCCTTGCGAACTGAGAAACTTCTCAGTTCGCAATGGGAGTTTCTTTAAACCATTGTGAGTATTATATCAATGCTTTAAACCCTTTGTGACTGTTAACTTCCTCGCAGAATGAAGCACGCGTTTTAAAATAGTGTAAAAACTTTTATAAATTACCTACCATACATACCTAACCACTGTTCTCACGTTATCTCATTAGCTAAAGCCTAAATAAACAAAAAAATAACTCCTTTTGTAATTATTGATTAATTGAATTTCCTTCTGAAAAATTATTGGTGTTTCTTTACTGAAATGGACAATGGAAGCAAAAAGTAAGCGCAGTCAGTATAACACTTGTAAAAAGTTTTTAATTTGCAGCAGTGCCATCTACCAAAAGTCAGCATTACTAAAGTGATTTGTTTAAAAAGTATGAAACCGAGATGGCGATATAATCACACGGTTGTTACCAGATGTTTGAAGGAAGCATATTCATTTATGAAGTTTTCTCATTTAGACTTCAAATAAATTATTATAATCTAAACAATAAATAACAAAGAACAAATTAAAGAAAATCTTATGAGCCACGTTTGCTTTGTGTAATCTGTTGTGGTCGGTAAAACAGTATAGCAATGATGTCAATGTACGACATCTTGTGAATTCAGTATAAACTATAATGACCAAAACTTTAGTTATTTTGAGGACCAAAGTGCTCCAGAAAATTAATTTGTCATTTAATAACAATGAGTTAAGTTCAGTTTTTGATATAGTTATGTAAACTTTTATCTTTTAGAACACTATTGACACTCTACTTACTATTTGAAACTGAATACTTTAGAAGTCTAACTCTTTTTTTGCCTACTAAGAGAGACATCTTGTGTCTAAAAGTTACAAACTTTTCTGCCATCTGTCGTAAAATGTAAACAATATAACATTAGTTCACAATTTAGCCGCGGCGCTCACAACCCAAACAATGAATACCAACATGGTGGCAATGTGCTACACAGTTTGAAAATGCAGCTCGTGTCATGCTTTGAAAAAAATCATTTTATACTCGAATTTGGTGGAAAATGTCGGACCCTAAACGTGCTACTCTTATAACAGTGGGTGCTACTAAATGTGCAAAGAATAATGTGAACAAAACTGTGAGATTAACTATCAATTTAGATGAAAGCAACGAAAGTAAATATCCGGAGCTGAATTACAAGGAACTAGTCATTGCAGAAGAGGTAAGTTATAACAGAAAATTATAGCAATTTACGCAACCATACTGGTTTTCCAGCTCTTGGTAGTGCAGGGAATGTGCTAAAAAAATATCTAGGCAAATAGATCAACAGGAAGGCAGTCGTAGCCAGTTTTATGAGGCCCTGTGAAAATCGTTTTAGGATATTTTTTGCTTACGTTACACAGTTCTGTATTAGGTTTGTGACATGAATTTGCGTCCACGGACTGCTCGAGAAGCTCAGATAGCGGTCGCCATGTTTGCAACAATCATAGAAGTATGTTGCCGACTTAGAACATGATTTTACGAGGGCAATGTTTTGATCGCTATCACACTGTGATTAAAGTTGTTTTTGGTCCATTATTAATGATTTTTGGATTGTTGCACTGTATAAATAGGTAGTATAATTAGTGCTATACGATACTGCATTGAGTATTATATCAATATTACATACGAAAGTCTCGATTTCAATGACCTAGGATAACCTACCAATTGTATACGGCATCCGGTAAAAGCAAGTTAGAATTTTAGGTTACATTTCCGTAGATTTTATTAAATTACATTGTAAATGAAAGTTAGAACATATGTTTCCATTTTGCGCGTATAATATATGTATTGTGTATGTAAAATCTAGCATTTGACACGAGATGAACGTAAAAGTAAAGAACACAATATTAGTATTCGTCTTGCCGTTCTAACACATAAAATTTTGGAAGTAGTATAATTTTATTTGTTAGAAGGGTTATTATTATGATACTGGGCTATGATATATATCACGTTTGGTTATGTATTTGTTTGCAAACTTGATCTGCAATGTTGCCAAGTTGGTTTCGCTTGCAAAATGCACCCGTTGGCACATTGTATCGTGACCTTTGCTTCTCTTCGAGCTTTTTTGCTTTTATGCCTCTACTCTCAATCGATAACAGCTAAAAAGTACATAACGAAGACAGGTATATATTGCGGTGAGTACTATTATAGTTGCCGCGCGCTAGTGTGAGTGTAAATATAGTGTATTGCTGTGTGTGTTTGAGTTTTGAGAATGTTTATGTGTAAATTCTTTGTGTGGGATGAATTCTTATGTATTTAGTATGTATATTTTGGTGCTCTGTTTAAGTTTCTTTGTTCTCCTGGGTTATGCATATTATGTGACGTTATTGAAGGTCTATAATTGCAGCTTACATAATTAGATATGAATGGTTATGGTAAATTGCATTGCGCTGTAACCTATCTTTGTTAAACTCGCGGCATTATTGAGGTTTTATGATAATGTGTTTACTTAGCGTCCATTATTCAACCTGGATTGTGTGCTGTTTATAGTTTTGAGATGGTACTGTCTAGTAAACTTTAAACCTGTTGTTATTTGATAACAAGTACATTTATAAACAATTATCTTTTGTGCATTCTGTTACATATACATATGTATAGGTACATTTTTATCATGGAATTAGTTTTTTTATTACGGCTTGGAGATCTTCATCTAAACTGATGACGTAATCGGATGATTCATTTAGTTAAATTATGTATATTGAGTTTTATCTTTTATGCATATTTATGAGAACATGCGTCCGATTGTACTATTCAAGGATTTTAGCATTTTATTGTTTTATTATTATCTAAAACATTGATCGTGTTCTGATTATGGCACTGTCATGGTCGATTTCACCAAGACTGATGGGTTCATTGACCTGTAATTATTGTTTTAATAATGCATAGAAACACTAGAATGTGTTTGATTGGTATGGTGTTCAGGAATTCATTTACTTTGATTGGAATATATGTAATTATTTATTTTATTACTATTATGGCGGGAGGAAGTCGTATTTTTTGCAATGCTGGCTATGTGTACTGTAGGTATTATACCTAGGTAATTACACGCTTTCTCTTTTACTCAAAGTAATCTTTGTCTACGTAAGAAACGTTTAAATATTGTTATTGGTAATCTTAGTGATTGTAGATGATTTCAACTTTATTGACATTCTCGTCTGTACTCTGTGAGTAGACTGACTGTGTTAAAAACATGGCGTCTATGGGTGATGTGTGAATACGAGAATGGCGCGAAAGTGCTTTGTTACAAAACGAGATTTTATAGAGCGGGTCGAATAGGTACCTATATTGTGTAGGAGTATCTTATACATTATGTATACCTATATATGGCTTTACTACGGCTTCCATACAGCACAATTAGACTGGTTGTTGAACTCATGTGGATTCAAATCGTGCGATTCAAGGACATTGGCTAGGAATTGATAGTGTCACGTCCAATCAGGTGAAATCAGGTCATATGGATGCTAATCATGCAATCGAGCGGTATATATAGGTAGCTACTCACTGTGGGGATGTTTCTTAGTTTTTATTTTATTTTACAGTGGTGTTTTATTAACGCTTTTTATCAATTCGGTGATTACTTACATTTATTTATTGGGTAACTAGCTGGTACCTGCGACTTCGTTCGCGTGGCAAGCGGTACGTGACTGGAGTCCATGAGGTCATGGGTTCCATTTCTCGGACCGGGCACAATTTTATAGGGTTTTTCTGAAAGGAAACATAGCCTAAGTTACTCCTTATATAGACAGCTAAATGGTAGCAAAATACAAAAAAAAAACGGTCCAGCCGTTTTGAAGATTACCCGGAACAAACAGACAGACAAACAATATTTAAACTGGTCGTTAGGCTAGGTATCATGCAAATAACCGTGTGAACATTATTTTGACATTACAAACAGACATTTCAATCTATACATCTATACAAATAAATAAAATTGGAGTGTCTGTTTGTAATATTAATTAATAATTATGTTTACACGGTACATATGCCAAAATATCATTTTTTACAATTTTTGTCTGTCTGTCTGTCTGTCTGTTTGTTTCGGGTAATCTCTGGAACGGCTGGACCGATTTCGAAGGGACTTTCACTGGCAGATAGCTGATGACATAAGGAGTAACTTAGGCTACTTTTTTTAGACTAGCTTCGCCCCGCGGCGTTGCCCGCGGTTATAACAACAAACGCGGGTAACACCGCGGGTCTCAGCTAGTTTTATATATTTGTATAGATTCGGAGTATGTTATGACTTGGATAAAAGATAATTAAAAAGAATATTACAAGCGCCAGTTCAGCACAGATAATAAAATTGGCGGTTTGATCGTGTAAATGTACCTATACGTGTAATCTGATTCTTTTAAACCTATTCATTTTGTATTTAATACTTACACAGTGCAGAAGCCTTTAAAAAGTAGAAGACCTTGGGATGAGGCCTTTAATAATTTAAGTACCTACGACAATGGTGTACGACAATATGAGTCCTAAATCAAGGAAGTTCTCCGCATTAAAGAGAATAATAATATAAGTATTATGTTCCTTCAAGAGATCAACAAAAATAGGGACGTTCCGATACTCGATACCTACCTAACAAGTATCCGAGTATATCCAATGGATAATAGGTATGGATATTTGTGTAACGGTGTTCCAATCCGTAAATTCTTGATCTTGTACGGATCTTGTACATTTCGTATTATATTTTGTTACGTTTATGAAATTCAAATTTCTTAAACGTAACAAATTGACAACAATTTTGCGCGCCAACTAAGACAAGAGAGACTGATTGGTTAATCAGGTGTCAATATGTGCACACTAGCTGACCCGCGCAACTTCGTCTGCGTCTCTCAATAGTAATAAATTTTCTCCTTTTTTTGAAACATTCTTCATTGGTGCTCCGCTCCTATTGCTCTTAGTGTGATGATATATTGCCTATAGCCTTCCTCGATAAATGGACTATCTAACACTGAAAGAATTTTTTAAATCGGACCAGTAGTTCCTGAGATTAGCGCGTTCAAACAAACAAACAAACTCTTCAGCTTTATAATATTAGTATAGATTTACGACACGTTTTCTGATTGGGGTTTCCAACCACGTTACTCACGGCTAAAAATCTAATTTTCCTCAATTCAAAATGAAATAAATTAGTCTTTATTATTTTCCTTATTAATATTATTTCACTTTTTACAAATACATACATCTATTTAATTAAATAGTTAATTTTAATTTTAAACATACTTTTATATAATTTTAATAAAGACAGACCTACCCACAGAAAATAATTTTTTTGCTAATATTTTTACTTGGTATCAGAAATATCGAATAGGTAGGTGCATCGTCTACGTCTAATTTTCAACATACTTTTTTTTGCTAATATTTTTCCTTGGTATCAGAAATATCGAATAGGTAGGTACATCATCTATCCATCTCTATATTCATTTATCCATCTCTTCATCTCAAATACTTACATATAGGCTACTGTCACTGACGTTATTTTGCCAGCACATATTCATATAGTAGGTACCTACTAAAAAAATATATTACTTTAAGAAATGACCCCAAAAAGGATTAGTACACTACCTACTCACCTACTACAAAAGGTCAAGGAAGATACTGTCAACGGACATTCAAGACATGTCGCTTAACATTTTGAAAAACAATCTGATAAACGTTTAAATATCTTATCATTTCGCACTTTCAATTATGCAAGGTGACGAAAAAGTTGTCACACGATGTTCTTTGGACGTAATTTTTTAAGACATTTTTATTGTTGAGCTGTTATCTCATTTTTTCTATTTAGTTGAGAATTATTGTCAGTTAAGTGGTCTCCGCCACAATTGACGGTCATTCGATTCTGGACTTGGTAATGGAAATTCTTCGTCTTTCGAAAGTCGGTCTATAAACTATAATGTAAGGTAATCTTAGCCATAGCTGAGAAATCCTCAGCAGAATAGCAGCTCCGTTGCACCCAGACTTGTTATCATCTCGTGTGGTCCAATAACAACCGTACTTCTCACACATACTGTTAAAAAAATGTAACATCTAGTTAGGATAATCAGTATTAATCTAATCATTTAATTTAAGAATTGAAGGACGAAATTAGTACTCAATAAATATTATACCTACTTGTAAATTATTATCTATACACGTCGATAAGATAACTAAACTCTCACATTTGAACACAACAAAACAATTACAACAATGCGAAAGTATTGGGAATCACAAAGGCCGGACCTCTGGGTATCAGGTAGCGATCACAAAGAAATCACGGTTTGTCCAATGAGAGCGCAAGTACGGTCTTTAAAAGCATTCTTATTAGACGCTAGTTCTATTGTGTGCTTCTTCTTGACTGCACGGATGGCGTAGTGGTTTAAGCGGTCGCCACGCCGCTCACTACTACGCTGAGTGTTGTGCGTCCGATCCCCACATGGGACGACACTTTTTGTGATCCACAAATTTTTGTTCTGAGTCTGGGTGTTCTCTGTGTCCGTTTCATGTATGTTTGTAAAGTCCCCTGTGACACAGGATATATCCCTAATGCTTGAGTTGTTTTAAAGAAAAGAAAATTAAACTTATAATAGCGGTAAACAAGTTTTGATCATGATTAGACTTCTGTAAATTATAATATTTCTTTAGGCGATTTTTAATTACTACTAGGACATACAAAACTCGAGAAGAGGCTTTAGTAGCTTCAACTAGCAGAAAACACTGAATAACAGTTATTGATTTGGCAACAAACATTTGACATTGTAATAATACGTCACAGTCCTATAAAAGGCGACGCTTTACTTTACTGCCGCTAGAGTTGCCACATTTTAAAATAATCATCGAGACAAACGGTCCGTTGCCAGAGACGGTTTAAAACTATAAAATATAGTCTACTAGCGATCCGATACCGATACTACTAATACCACTATCATCAACAGCCTCTAATGGTCCACCGTTAGACACAGGCCTCTCCTTCATCATCATCATCAACAGCCTTTACTAGTCCACTGCTGGACACAGGCCTCTCCTTAGAAAGGAGGTTTTGGCCTACTATACCACGATGGCCAAACGGCTTGGTATAGGGTTTGTTTCAAGTTTTCCTTCTCTTTGCAGTGCTGTTGTTCTGCGTAGTTTGCCAATACCACTAATGTGGTGTCAATGTGGAGTAATAAATTATGCTATTATTATGATAGGACTATACTACATTATAGGCCCGCTACGATCCTGCCGACCGCTTCCGGGACGGACGTACGGCTCGACGGTAATTGGTCCCCGCATTTTAAACCTCTAATATCTTCTAAAATATTCATTTTAATGATATTCTGCAAAGAGCAATTTTAATCTACATTAAATACACAACGTATCTTACGTATTTAATTGGATAGGGAATAATAATGTATTGTTTAAAATAGCTTCGTAAATCGGATCGGATTCGGATCCGGATAACGGATATCGGATAATATTATAGTAGGTATAGAAAATCCGACAATTTCAATTATTTGTTGTAAAAACATTTGTGCGCTTACATTGCAAACGCTGGCTAAACCTTATGAGATAGGCCAAAATAATGTACTACGGATTTGTATATCTTTAAAAGATCGACGGTATATGTCCATCTGCTAAGGATCGCCTATGGATCCGAATCCGATCCGATTTACGTAAGATTTTTAATGTATTATACATACACATATAAATGTTCACCTTGAATCACTTTCTCTATTGGTGAAAACCACATTAAAAGTAAGTAAAAAAGTACAGTACTCGAATTATTTGGACTAGCTAGACTAAATTACAGATTTAATTTTCGGTTACAATACGATATCATTTAATTACAGTCAACGTTGGATGTTTAATATTTAACTACGAAAATACCTTTTATGACAGTTGTATAATCGAAAGTTGATCGGAACTGAATTGAGACCTAAATTTTATTACGAGAATTGGCCTTCGGGGTCCAAGCTTTCAACACAGCAAACGATAGTTTCTTGGAACATTTACATCTAAAGGTGTTGTTGTTAATAATAACGCTTCCGTGATAGAACTTTTATGATATAGGGGGCAAACGAGCATACGGGTCACCTGATGGAAAGTGGCTACCGTGTCCCATGAACGCCTGAAACTCGGGAGTCCCAAGCGCGTTGCCGTTATTACACACGATTAGATTTCACCAGGTAGTGAAAGGACGCCGTATATCATGCGCATGCGTTAGTTATATTTTATTTCATCTACTATTAGAAACAGGGAACCACAGTAATCTTGTTTGTTTGTATGTGCGTCCTTAAACCTAATAAATAGGTTAAGTAATTCACTTGCTATATCAGACAACAATACAAAACACGGTAACAAACACTTCGAAAGATTTCATTTCACACCATTTCGAAAGATTTCATTCACAATTGATTCCTTTTGACATCTCTAATTCTCAAAGTGTCCAGTATTGGGTGGGCCATTATTTGCGTGAGTGAAACAAAATTATAGTTGACAAATTTTCGGAGTTTATAACGCCTACTCTTTTATTACATCCAAAAATTCTTGATGCTATGAAACTTACGTCAAACGAATACTTGTTTACATATTGCTGGTAATAAGATGCATATCTCCTGGAACAAATAAACAAAGATGTATGATTTTTGTATTTTCAGAGAAAGAAACGTGAGAAAGCAGAAAATGGAAAAACTGGAGGCCTGGACCCATTCTCTGAAAGCAATGATGACGTTGAACGCATTGCCAGAAAGTTTGAACAGAAATATGTGAGTTTACAAGGTTTTGTTCTGGTGTTTTATTTATCTGGTGTTTATTATACATAGATATAGAGAAGCATGGGACACATAAATGTTTCAAAAATTATGCTAGGTACAGCAGCATAACTACCGTCTTATGGGGCTGTATGAAATTCCGAGGTTATGTTATTACTGGGTAATTAGCACCCGCTAAAAGCAGTCCCGGCCTTATCAAATAGTTCATCAATCATCAACAGGCTTTCGTAGTCCACTAGTGGACATAGGCCTCTCCTTAGAAAGGAGTTTATGGCCAGACGGGTTGGTATAGGGTTTATGTCAAGTTTTCCTTCTCTTTGAAGTGCTGTTGTCCTGAATTGACTGCTCGACACCCACGAGATGAATGGGGATGGTGACTTCGTATTGAAATCCATCGCCACACGGATTAACAATCAAATAGTTATTTAAGGATTATTCAAGAAAGTGCTAATTCTGCTTTAGAGGAAAATATATTTAAATATATTTTATGATATAAAACTTTCCCTGTTATAAGGAACCAATGCGTTTGTTGACCTGTGGCACATACTGCGAAAGTTTTTAAAAACAAAACAATTAAGCTGATGTCTTAGTATTCCAGCCTGCCTGTTCCAAAGTTTTCGTATAGCCTAGTCCAAAGTTTGCGTATTCGAAGAATCTAATCGCACCTCGACCTCTTCTAGATAACTAATAATGGATGTAGATTTCATCATAAATGTATATACAAATATTGACTTATTGTTGTATATTTCAGGGTGGCAAAAGTACATATGGCCGTAAAGGCAGATCAAAACACGACGACTTCGCAGACATTGGCGCTGGATACGACGAGAATGATTCTTTTATCGACAATACGCATGGAGTAAGATTAAGAAAAACTTATATTTCTGTGTTCTTTGAAATTTGTACGAAATTTGCACGATTACCCTTTTTTTTTGTCCGTGCGGAAATCCCCTCGGATACCACTTATCGGTGGCATGTCGGACTCGAACCGACTAAAACCGCACGCCGTCGCGGGTACTAATAGCCGGGGAACCAGGTATACCCTAGAAAGGAAGTCCCTGGTGCCCCGACATACCTCGGGCCATCTACAGACGAGTAGACGACCCCCCTCCCGTGTGGGAACCCCATGTTCCCTCTGCTCTCTGGAAGCGAGCGCGCTTCGCAACGCGCTCGCCGCCACCCCGGCCTGCTTCTGCTAGGGTGACAGATGGCCTCACCTGTCACCCCCAGGTCTGCGCTTATGGAGGACGGAGGTCGTTCTGCGACCTCCGGCGCCTTACTCGCCTGCGGTACCTAGCCCGTTCCCGGGCCTGGCGGGCCGGGAGAGTTCTAAACCTCTCCCGGTTGTACGGTTACCCTATGAGTTCTTATAGCGGCAAACGGCTTCGTGATTCTGTACGGGAACTCACAGACCTTAATTTTGGGCCTCCTGAGCTTGAGTGATACCACGGTTAGGTAACCGGAGCCCAAATACTCACCCCCAGCCTCCTGATTCTAGGATGGGATTCAAAGGTGACCCGTTCTGGTTTAATATACAATTAATTAAATAGTATCGTATCGTCTACAGTAGCGTACCATACTACACCACTAAGGCAGTGCTTTTTAAACTCCAAGCGAACGAAGTAACGGGCACCAGCTAGTTAATAAATAAATTGAACACACAAGAAAATTCTCTTGATAATCATCAACTAAAGGCACCATTGTAATAATATCTACGAACAAACAATAGAACAAAAGGTGAAAGATCAATATAGTTTTAGCTGTTTCAGAATATAACCACTTATTGGACCAACTTGTCAAGTGTATTGTGTGGTACTATTTTTGTGTCGTTGGCAGCGATTGTATTTGCTAACGAGTTGAGCTAACAGTTTCACTCCTTCATAGGTCAAATTATTGACCTATAAAGGACTTTGATTTGTATTTTTGACCTACTTCTGATTATTTTCTGTATATTAATATTTTGTTTTTAATATTTGTGCTTAATAAAGCGACTTTTTTTTTGCAGTTTGGTCTTTTTTAAATTTGAATAGTTTATTCTAATAATGCATAAACTATGTTCTTGTTAGATTTTTTTTTAGTTGAAGCGTATTAAACTTTTGTTCTTTTAAAACTCGGTGATACTTTTTAAAAGTTATAGATTTTTAATAGTATCTCTATATATCTACTATTATGTCTTATGTTAAAAGTGCCTTTTTGTTAATGTGCGGGTGGAAACTTACTCGGGCCGTCACCCCACCGAGGTTTTCGATGAGGCCTTGTGTCTTAATCGAACTGGCTACAACCATATTGCGCCTACAATAAGAGGGATCAGAAAACAGCTGCTAATAAGACAAAAGTTCACAGGATAAAAAATAAATAAATTAAAAATTGTTTTTAGTACGACGAGATGATTCCGCCAGAGTGTGACACGTTATACGGTGGTTTCTACATCAACTGTGGGTCTCTCGAGTTCAAGAATGTGCCTGAAGGTCAGCTCGCCATATCCGATGCAGAACGCGTGGGCAACTCGCGAAATAAGGTTAGTTTACAATTGTTCCATTCCCACCCAGGACAAATAAATGTGGTATGAGCACGATCATTTGTTCTGTCTCTGGGGGTAATTTATCTATAAATGGATGTATTTAGAAATATATAAGTATGTTTATTAGCTGCGGGGTTAACATAGTACAGGCTCTGTCTGGTTTGGGATCAGAGGGCCGTGTGTGAGATGTGCGAGGTTATTGTACACAGAATACACAAAAACATCTTTTTTTTTTAATAATTATCTTGTGAACTCTGATTGCTTATGTGTTCTTAAAGAACGAACCTTGTGTTTTTCATTTTAATTATTCTAAAATATTCAAAATATTAGAGAACTTAGAATATTGTAAAATCTTGACAATTCTTACATAAGACCAAAGTAGGCAGAGCCTGTACTATGGTAACAAAAAACATTCAAAATTTTTAATAAATTACATTCAGACAGAACAAATTACCTCGTCTCAGTTCATCACTAACGATCTCGGGGTAAGTAGAATTCTTAATCGATATACCAACAAGCCGTAGATGAAAATTAAAAGTGGAGTGTAAATTGATGATAAGAACAGTGAAAGCCTTTAAACTGGGTATAAGCAATTTTACTTTTGAAGATGGTAGCCATTTTTCCCACTTGCATTTTTAGTTTTCTTTTTTTTTCATTTTGAGAATGCGAAATATGGCCTCTGATAATGCCGTTAGTACCGGACACACAACACAACAACGACACACACACACACACAATAAAACACTTGTATCACATTGTGACAAGCGTGATACAAGGTTCTTTTGTGGTTCAAAAATGTGTTACCACGCCAAAAATATTGTGAATAATATTTAAAAAACCTAATAAAGGCTATTATTATAAAACTATTATTAAAAAAGCTGCCTAAAATGTTTAAATTAAAATCTGAATGCTTTAAATTTACTGTCAAAAATTATGAATAGTTGTGATATTTTTTGTTTTTCGTCAATGTTTGAAAATTTCGTTAGGTAATGGCTCTTTCTCTGTTCCAGCGGCGAATATCGTCGAGCAGCAGCTCTGAAGAGTCCTCAGAGAGCTCGTCCGAATCCAGCCACGACGAAAAGGAGACCGCAGAGAAACCCATGGTCAATGGACACCTCGACTCACATGACATCCAACATCGGAAAAAGGTATATTAATATATTATAAGCAGCTTATACCCGCATCTTATATCGAGTGTGTGAGGATACGGGAGGGCCGGGGGGTAGGGAGAGGTACACAAAACTCGCCAACGCACTTGTATCTCCCGATTTGCAGCTGGCGTCCGGGGACTGCGATAGTCACTTATCAGTAAATAAATATTTATTTAGTCAGGCTCAATGAAATTATATACACCAACGCACAAAATGTGACGGTCCTAATTAGGACCACAAAAAGCGCGCTCACGTGCTAATTAATTCGAAAAAAATCATAAAATGCCTTCTATCGCTGTGCTAATTACAAATTGCTATCTCTTTTACTCTTATGCTTTTCCTATTTTCTTTCGCACTTGTAGCTTTTTGTTCTAAAATGCATTAATAAATGTATGTATAGTGTTACGGAACAAATATTATTTGTGTTCAGTATGAATATACCGTGTCTTCTTTAAAATATCATTAGTCAGGCTATGAGACTGAAGGCAATAGCCAGTATTCTTACTCTTCGTATAACTCTGTACGGATTAATGTTTGTATAGTATGCGCTGTCGTACCGTTCATCGGATCATCGTAAAATTTTGCCCATACATTGTTAACAATGCAGCAAACTATATAGGGGTAGCTTTCATCTAAAAAAGGATTTCTCGAGAGATACAAAAATGTGTGTGGTGACGGATTAAGAATACAGAGTGTCACCACCCCTATTCATCCCGTGGGTGTCGTAAGAGCCGACTAAGGGAAAAAACTACGCAGAACAACAGCACTGTAGTGAGAAGAAAAACTTGACACAAACCCTATACCAACCCGTCTGGCCAGCGTGGTATAGTAGGCCCAAACCTCCTTTCTAATGAGAGGCTTATGTCCAGCAGTGGACTGTTAAAGGCTGTTAATGACAAAAATTTCCAGCTAACGAAGTTGCGACTCAAAATTAGTCGGTTTTTTAAATGTTTTATTTGCTATTCTTAACAATAGTTACTTGCTTGCAGAAGAATAAAAAGGTCGATAAGCAGAAGGCTAAGAAGATTCGTCGTACCGACTCGTCGGCGGCCACCTCAGGGAAGCAAACATCTGATGGTAAGGTCTATTTAATTGTAGAAGGTATCTCAAAGGTCTACAATCTCACCTTCATGTTCTTTCCTAAATTTAAGTTGCAAAGATTTGGAGCTGGTAGGAAAACAAGTATAATGGGTTAAGGAATAGGGCGAGAGAGGGCGAATATCCCTTCTACTACTATCCGTCCTATCCTTGGACTTTTCGTAGTATGGAAAATCTTTGTGAAGCTTTCTTCTTTAATGTCCTCTGGATGAGGCGGAATTCTTCCACAGCAAGTGTCCACCTGGGCCGGCTCGGTATCGGATGGAAATGGAACTTTGTAGAACAATTAAATTTAAAGAATTATTATCGAAATACGCCCATAATTCAAGAATAAATAAAATATTAGTTTTAAGTAAGTACTACTGAGACTAACAGAATGCCGATTCAATATTCGGTCACAATACGATATAATCAAATTACAGTCAATGTTCACTTTACTACGAGAATGCCTTCTATGTCATTTGTGATATCGATAGTAGATTTGAATTTCGAACGAGTTTTTATTACGAGAGTTGACCTTCTGATCCCTATTTATATGTTAAACCGTCTGTTTGATTTCAGATAACGTGCAAGGCGATGGCGAGAGCGTGGACTCTCACTCCCGCACGTCGCAGTCGGACTCACTCGCGTCCAAGCCCGCGCCCAGCTCAGAAAACGAAGCCACGCTTGACAATTTCGGGTTTGAACTATTCTATAACTATCTAGAAACTTCTGTGTGTTCACAATTAGAGTCACTGCTTGCACTTTCAACATTGATCTTACCTAACGATTGCTGTAATTCCTAACTTTTTCTGTGTTAACTGGACTAAATCTTATAAAAATATGTTGTTCTCTGTCAAATTAACTATGACTTATTAGACAAATGGTATCTTTTATATATTTTCAAATCTTTAGCATTTAAAAATATATAAAACATTGTTATACTAAATGTAGGCTATAGCTGGTCACTTTTTAGTTTTACTTACATACCTAGATTAATATAGCAGTATGTGTTGGTTGCAGTTAGATTTATTTGAGTTTTGTAGGCCAGGATTCACTTTTTTAAATTATTCTGGACAAAAAAATACAAGATTATTCTTATTTACGTTTATGGGGAAATGAAAGATGTAAGATGACAATCTTTATTACTAATAAAAAAATATAGTATAATTTATATAGTTTGTGTTATGGTGCCATTTTGTACACTTTGCTGCAAAGTAACTAATACTAAACTAACTAAAACTAATAATACTCTCTATCAAGGTAGTAATAACATGCAATGAATTATAATAAAACCTATACTTCACTGCCATCGCTACACATGTGAATATTAGTAATAAGTTAATAACTTAACAACTCATACATCACAGTCTGATCCTAAACTAGGAAGAGCCTCTACCGTGGTAACCAGATTGCTAACAAACATACAATATATTCTAAATCCTTACAAATTACACCCAGACACAGAACCTAATAACGTGCTCATCGCACAATTATGAAATTATAATATCTTACCATCTGCTTTTAGTGTTTTTTTAACTAATTACTGATTTGCAGCTTATTTTCATAACATTTCAGTTATATAGTACTTACTGTTATTGACCAGGCTCGCATCAAAATGGACTGTATGAGCATAGTGGCTTCTCACACATGAAAATGCTTAACTAAATGTTGAGAACACAAAACTTTTCACATGAAAAGGTTCTGGCTGTACGATGTACAGCCTCCCCTCAATTATTTGCAGGGACCCAGACGTAAAGTTACCACCACAAGTTGTTCAGGCGCTGGAGGCTTTGGAGAATTTCGTGGAGAGGCAGCTCGCAGAAACGCCCAATATGTCTTCTAAGGAATTGAAAACTAAAAGCAGTGAATACATTTGCAGGTAATCATTTAAATATGTGTTACTATACATCATCATCAACAGCCTTTATTAATCCACTGCCGGACATAGGCCTCTCCTTAGAAAGGAGGTTTTGGCCTACTATACCATGCTAGCCAGATGGATTGGTATAGGGGGTTCAGATGTCTTAATATCAGCTGTACCCGGACCCTCTTATCTCAGGCACACGTTAAAAAAAAATGGTTACTAAAACTATATGACATCGATTGTGTGACATTGATGTGGTCTTTTACACTGTTCTTATACTGTCTAAACTTTAAGTCAGTTTCAAATGGTGATTATATTCTACAGAGTTTAGTATACACGGTGTAGTCGAAAATCATTGAAATTTTCTGACGGGAAATTAAACTTTTTATGCAATCAACTGTCAAAGGTTAAGGTCATTCACCGTAGGTATCGCACAAAAGTAACAACTACATGTGTATTTCTTGCAAACCGTCTATTCGCTCTAACACTAGTTGGCGGCCGGAAGGAAGGCCTCGCGCGCTTCGGCTGTTTGATTAATTACATTGCAAATTTTGACCGTATGCGGTATTTATCAAATATTTTTCGGTTAAATGTTCTGTTTACATTGTGACATTATTTTTTATCATTATTAACCAAAAAAGAGAAAATTCGAATGATTTTCGAATCAGAATCATGGTATTTTAATATTCGTTGCGACGTCTCTTACAGCCTTTATACTTCACATGTTAAGAATGTCAGAGATATGTTACAATACAGATTAATCTCCAAAATGGAAAATATTTTAGCTATTTTCTTTTTAAATATTGTCTTTGAACAAGATTATGTCAAAAGATATTCTGAGAGACTCTACGATACGTATTTAAATAATTACTAGTAGTTATTCGGTCAAAAATATTATATACCTACCTGGTAATTAAAACATTGTTAAACAATTTAAATCAAGTCAAAATAAAGTTGTTGACTGCATATGATTAGTGTTTATCTGCTTGTTTCTGATTACCATAAAAGTATTTTTGTATTATCTACTGTTTTGCATAAATTACTACTTTGCATAAATTGCTTTTTTGTTGTAACATTTTTTTAATTCTTATTATTCTGTAAAGTTTTAAAATTGAATTTTGCCACTAGATTTCATGTGTAAATCATTTAATAAAATGTCTTATTATGTGATGATGATGATTATTATTAAATACATTGTTATTTCGTCAATCGAAGTCGGTTAGGTGGGATATCTATTTTGACAAATCGTCTACAAACTACCAAAAAAAAACAAAAAGCGATATGTATCCGAAAACTCGTGACGTCCTGCCGGTGACCGGTCAGCGATAAAGCGCGAGTAAGAAACAAAGAGAATGGGAGAAGTGACCGTGGGTGTGGTTCCAGGATGTCGTTGTCGCTGGAGGCGTGCGGGTGCGCGGAGGGGGTGCGGCGCGCGGCCTGGGCCCGGGGGGCGCGCGCTCTGCGCACCTCGCGCGCGCAGCTGCGGCTCGCGCACGCCTACCCCGCCCCCACCGACCCGCCTCACCACTCGCGTACGTACACCTCTACACTTCGCCACGTCGACAGCCTTCAATACTCCACTGCTGGACATAAGCCTTTCCTTAGAAAGGAGGTTTTGCCCTACTATATTACGCTCGCAAGACAAGTTGGTATAGGGTTTGTTTCAAGTTTTCCTTCTCTTTGCAGTGGTGTTGTCTTGCGCAGTCGGCTCTTACGACACCCACGGGAATAAGAACTTGTGTTAATTAATAGGGTTTAATTTTTAGACCTCGTCGACCTCCAAAATCAGTTTTTATTTATGTCGATCCCCCCAAGGGGTCGATATCGACCACGGGAATCCCTAATATAAATCAATTAATCGGTATAACGATAAAATTGATCTTCACTTTGACTCTGTGACAAAAGTTAAATCAATACTGTTGAACTAACCTGATTTAAAAAAATGTATCTATTGATAAATTAAACTATCTCAAATTGTATTTTTAAGAATATCCACATTTACTAGTTACATTATATTAGTTCACTGTAATTTCTTTAATATTTTAAATGTGGTGTTTACTTTTCAGTAATTGTAACATTAAGTTTTGTATTCGCATGCAACTTGTAATAACTTTAAATGTTCACAATTGTTGGCGGAACTTAACTAATAAATAATCTCAATTAGACATAACCTGTGCTACAGGAACAGCTGATAAACATACGCATGTATTTCTAAATCTATACTATACGATATTATAGATAATTTTGGGTGCAATTTATCTATATTGTATTTAAATATATTTTTGTATTTTTATCAGCAGTCTGATAACATAGCACAAGTTCTGGTTCTGCCTAGTTTTATTCAGACTGCCGTGTGTGAGATGTATGAAGTTACAATTAGATTGACGCTTTGGTGCAGTGGTAGCCTATACAACTGCTGTGCTGAGGTCACGGGTTCGATTCCCGGATCGGACCAAATGTTTGTATGATGTGCAAATTTTTGTTTCGAAGTTTGAGTGTTTTCTATGTATTTACAAAAAAAAGTTGCCTTCATAGTACAAGCTCTGCTAGAGTTTGTTACTAGTTAGCGTTGTGTGTCAGATCAGAATATATTATTTTTAGTTCAAAAAAATATTTTTCTTATCCTCAGAAACCTCCACTACAAATGCTCAACCCAATACCGACACATCCATTACGTCAGCTAATCTAACAACAACCACAGTTGCACCAACAACAACCGTATCAACAACATCGGTCTCATCAAGCAGCAGTAAAAGGAAAAGTGAAGACACTCTAGAAGATTTTGATCCAGAACATCTTAGTTTTGATGAGAGAGAGGCTATTATTGTAGATACATTACGAAGGTATTATATGTTATTTAAAATATACCATAGTTATATCTATACCTATATTTTTTTATAAAAAAAGCAACTGCACCAGGGATATATAATTCTGTATTGCGGGTGACTTTACATTTATTTAAATGGACATAAAGAATGCACAGTCTCAGTATAGTGGATCACTCAAAGTGACCCTTGTGGGCAGCTAGCGAACCCACAACACTCAGTGCAGTAGGAAGCGGCGAGGTGACTGCTTAAACCACCACATCATTCATGCAGTCAGCGAGGTGACCGTTTCAACCACCACGTCACCCGTGCAGTCAATCAGTATTATAACTAAACCGTAGTCTTAAATCTCCATGGACGATGGTGGTCACTCTCTATCAAATGATCTGGTTGCTCGTTTACCATAAAGAAACCTACCTCAAAGACAAGTAATGACGTACTAGTGACGTACCATTATTTGAGTCAGCTGTATGTTTGCCTTTTATGTAAAAAAAAGTTCAGTGAAATACCATTTAGGAGGAGCTAGTGTCATGTCTCTCTAACACAAAGGGAGGATCTTTCGAGTGGGTGATGTGATCATGGTTGATGTTATGAATTTGTATATATGCTAATTGGTGAAAGAATTGTTCATGTCGTGATTCACGATTAGCAGTTTTTTTTTCATTGTAATAATTAACGTTTTATGCCTTTTATTCTAGGTTAAAAGAACTGATTGACGAGAGGAAACCTGCTATGATAGCTAATTATAATGCTGAATGTGAGAGAGTACAAGAAGAGAGGTGAGTCTTTCGAATTTAATGTTAAAAAAAAGTTTTATGTTAACTTTGGGATTATTATTTACAAGAGTTTTATTACTTTGTAATTCGTATAAAATTATAGTTTTTTCATAAGGTACAAATTTAAATTAAATTTATTTGTCACCTTAATTTATTTTTGATTATATTTTTTAGCATTTTTTTTAAATTTAAAGATGCTATTACACGACTTGAAAGTAGATTAAAGCTATTGTCCAATCTATATTAACTGCGGTCGTGTTATGAGATCCTAATATCAGTTATTTAATTTGAAATATATTTTATATATCATGCGATATTTACGTGGAGCAGGAAGAAGATCCAGAGCTCGGCGGCCCCCGGCGCACCGGTGGCGGAGAAGCGGCTGCCCAAGCGCCGGTTCCCGTGGTGCGGGCGGTCGCGCGCGCTGGTGTGCCGCCTGGCGCGCGCGGCCGGCTCCAGCGCCGCCGCCGCCGCGCTGCTGCAGCGCCGCGCCCTGCCGCTCTTCCCGCAGGGCTTCCTGCGCATGCCCACGCTGCTGCGACAGGCCGAGTCAGTCTACGCCGCTCCCTCTCACCTTATATTATTACGAAACAGCGGGCCGATTAAAGATCCTCACGAATAAATATTATTATTGAGTATGAGTCAAACGTCAGTGGTAACGTTGACTACACGGATGGTAGTGGTTTAAGCGGTCGCCACGCTGCTTCCTACTACGCTGAGTGTTGTGGGTCCGATCCCCACATGGGACGACACTTTGTGTGATCCACAAATTGTTGTTCCGAGTCTAGATGTTCTTTGGATCCGTTTCATGTATGTTTGTAAAGTCCCCCGCGACGCAGGATATATACTTGATGCGTAAGTCGTCTTTTAAACAAAAAAAACAAGATACTAGAATAACAGCAATAAAATGACCACTGCACGAATAACGTGGTGGTTTAAGCAGACACCTCGCCGCTTCCTACTACGCTGAATGTTGTGGGTTCGCTACTCACATTCTAATATCTCATTTTTTACTCATACGTAAAAGGTCATAAGAGTCACATAAATACATTTATATATCTATTGCAAGCCTGTCTAAAGTCGCCAAACTTAAAATAACTGTACGGTAGAATAAATACACACTTGTGAAACTTCTAAAATGTAACCCATCTCTAAATTTCAGTTTAAGTAAAGAAATCAAAGCGTCGGACCTCAAGCGACAACGACTGGGTTCTGCATCCCAGCCGCCGACGAATCCACCGTCGGTGCCGTTCTCGGAACCCATTCAATTCCCGAGTTCCCTCACGGTCACCACGACTACCACGACCAAACCGTCGCAGGATAAATCTGAAGTGGCTCAAAGTACCGAGGAAAAGTACAAGTCTAGTTCGGTCTTCGGTTCGATTTTAAACACGCTAAGTCTGAGCAAAGACCTCATCATAGAAAAACCGGAAAAGAAAGACACGCACGAGAAAAAAGAAGAATTATACATTCCTCCGAATAATATAGGCAACATAACTATAACGCCGGTACCTCCTAACCCTCAGAAACAGGAGAAGAAACTCAACAATAATGTTCCAATGTTAACTATGACAAATGAAAAACAATCAGGTTTCATTAGAGTGAAGTCCCCGGCAGCCTTGAACGATATGGTGAAAAAAGACAAGGTTAAAAAAGTTGATAAACACGTAAAAGAGAAAAGAGTGGAGTCACCTCTCCATGTCGATACTAGTTACCAACCTAATAAAAAGGATCCGAGTCCGAAACACAAAGAAGAAATCCCTCAAAAACAAATTGAGACCATGCGTATAGCAGAAAATAATATTCCCCGACCTGCATTAGTTCCGGTGCATCATTCACCAACATTTGCGAAGCCAGATAAAAGACCACCAGAGGTAAAAAAGAAGAAAGAGGTTCTTATAATCTCTGATGTTGATCCTTTAAGTGATCAGCAGGAACCTTTAGCTATAGACGATAGCAGTAGTGACGTTGAGTTAATAGAAGAAAGTAGGACTGATAAAAGTGAACCTAAACGTGATAAAAATGAGACAGTGCCTTCTAAAGACCATGTGAGTGTAGATAAAAAAGTGAATAACAAGTGTAGAAAAGAGAAGGAGTTGCGGCCAAGTGAGAGTGAGGAGGCTACAAAGGAGGATATTGATACGGTCATTAAAAATTTAAAAGAGATGGCGGTAAGTTTTTATCTCTCATTTTATATTAAAAAAGTGAATGTAACTTTGTTCAGTACACTTTTACGGTATCATCTTATAGACACTGCCTGGCATACAGAAATATACATAAGGTAACTTTCTTTCACAAAACAAGTATTGTTCCCTAGGAATATCTGAATTAATTAACAAAATCTACATGCTCAATCTAGTGACATAACTTTAATGTTCTTGAGAATAATTTATCATCATCATCAACAGCTTTTATTGGTCCACTGTTGGACATAAGCCTTTGGTTTTGGCTTACTATACAACGGTTTGTTTCAAGTTTTCTTTCTCTTTGCGGTGCTGTATACAACACCCACGGACTGCATAGGGTGACACACTGTATTCTTAATTTCTTACCACTCGGAATATTATCATAAAAATATTAATTGGTGAATTAAAAGTATAATCAGATTTATTTATATTGTTTGTATAAATATTAATTATAATTTATACATAGACTCACTTTATTCACTCCGCCCGCCTGTATATCGGTTATCGCGGTAACAAGAAGCCTATGTCCTTTCTCAAGAATCAAACTCCATACCAAATTACATCTAAATAGCTTCAGGGGTTATTGATACCCCATACAAACTTCCACCCCCTTAAAAGATGATTTCTGGGACAAAAACTATTCTCTGTCCTTTCCCGGGACTCAAACTATCAATACTAAATTTCATCTAAATCAGTTCAGTGGCTTAAGCGCGAAGATGTAACAGACAGATAGACAGACACACTTTTGCATTTTTTTTTATGTATTTGGCAAAATGTTGATGTTGACAATTCTGCCAAAGTCTAAAGTGTGATGAAGGTGCGTGTGTTTGTAGAACCATAGAGGAACAAAACATAACCTCTGAATGAGAGTAGAGGGACAAAACATAACCTCTCAAGGAGATCACTGCACTGAATGTGATCTTTTTGGTATGGATGACCAGCTGTTGTGAATACACAAAAGTTTTAACATATTATTATAGTGGGTATGGGAATTATAGTGGCTATAATTAGATACATTTTTAATTGGGTTTTCAAGTAAATAGTAGGTAGGTAGGTTCTTACCATTTTTTATTGATGACAGTCCTACAAGAGATATAATTAATTTAAGATAACTAAAAGTTAAAAGGTTATCATCACAGTCAAGCGTATTTTTAAAAAAACAAATTCAAATACATGATATTTGTAAAATATTATCCATATGGTAACGGATTAAGAATAGGGAGTATCACCACCCCTATTTATCCAGTGGGTGTCGTAAGAGCCGACTAAGGGAGCAAATTATACTCGAGTAACAATATTTAATCTTAGCAGGATTGATAGTAGGTTCATTTTGAATGATTTCTGTATACTTAACTTGATTTTGCCATGTGTGGGGATTGGTTCTTGTAATTCATAAATAGGTTTGGTATATTTTTTACAATAACCGACATAATTTCCTTTTATTGTTCTGTCGTATTTCTTTTCGAGTAAATTTATATTTATTTATTACAATGTTTCAGAATTCACAAGAAACTACAAAGTTCAACAGTAATTCTTATGGAGGAGTTATTACTAGCGGTAAATATGTTTTTATGTTACCATTTCGCTTATATCATTCAAATTTCATCCAGTTATCACTAATACTGTCATTAAAAATCGACTCCTTCAATTAAAGCTTCAATACCGAATCTAAAATTCATTTCTATTTGTTGTTATTTTGTAATTTGTATAAAACAGATTCGTATAAATCTTCTGAGGAGTCAATCTAGTATTATGATATATCATCATCTATCACAAACTTGGTCCATTTAGCGAGACCTGATAATTATAAAAATAGCAAACAGTATAATTGTTCGATACGATTCTTAACGGTACACTGAAACTAGTAAAGTTTCAAATAAGCTTTAATAGTCGACGAAATAAAGTCCAAAATCAGGCCAAACAATCTCAAATTGGCGCAGGTGAAGAGTTCCGTTGTCTGTCTCCGAAACTCATCATCAGATCTTTATGAAATTTAAATGCGACCATTTCTGAAAAACTTTCTTTCGAATAAAAAAGAATTTTAAAAATATATATGACGGAGTTATGCCCGAAAATACATGAAAAACAATTAAATAAACATCCGAATAGATAACCTCCTGCTTTTTGAAGTCGGTTAAAAATATTCGTTTCAGAAAAATAACTATAATGGGTAATAAATAACAATTTTCGGTCAATTATAAATAAGGTACATTTTGTTCTCGGGGGTGTGTGCGACGGCCTCCGAGGTACCTGGATCCTGGGGTGGCCGTCAAACACGTAGTGGAAAAAATAAAACTTCCAAGGGAACTACGTGTTCCGGGCTTACAAATCCACGCAGAACATTTGAGTATCATTTCAACAATCGATGAATTCAGTAACTTTTTTTACCACTGCTGTGAGACTTAAAGTACGGATCCTAAACACAATATTTACGGAAATTATTTTTTGAATACCTGTAAAAGGCGTGACTTTTACTATTTGATTTTTATTGATAAATCTCGCTGAATAGATTTAGGTGTTATTAAATACCCATTATCATCTGTGAATCATTAACTAGTTTCTTTAACTGGTGTCATATTGGCAATGCTATGGTTCTCAAATTTTTACACATATATCCCCCTCATAATATCATTAAACTATCGGGACATCAATAACCAAAATTATCATTATCTATGAGAAACTCTTTTTGATTTCTTCCCTTTTTTTGCAAGTAAAAACGATAACATGCACAAATAGAGGAGGCAGGTAGCCGGCCATAAAGAAACTAGTCAAAATCTTTGACAATATTAAATATTTGGCTGATCCCAAATACAATTAACATTAAAATCTTTAATTGTGTAGAAAATAATGGACTTATGTATTCGGAATAATTATTTATATATTTATTTTTTATAGTTTAGAGACTTTATGAGCTGGTTCATTTAACGAAGAATACTGGCTTTAATCGTTTAGCGAAAATCTACTTGGAAAATTCAGGAATTTTGTGCGAACAAATTAATATACATCTTGTGATTTGTGATTTTTCTAGTTTTGTGATTCTTCTAGTTTTAAAAAAAATCCTCAAAATATAAAATTGAGGATATTGATCTGACTGAAACTAGTTTCCAACCGGCTGACCGCACTGCTTAAGCCTGGATTAAACATTTCCTGTTTTTCAGTTTTTTGTTGAAATTATTTATTTACATAAGTCCTACACAGTGGGTGTTTTCGGGCACAATGTATCGTACTCACCTGAGTATTATAATAATCGTTAATTATACACGATTTATTGTTCCCTATATTTCGGCATTTTGGACCCGACTGGAATTTTATCAAGGGGTGAGGCGACCTTTCCAATATTAACCAATTATAAAAATACATTATTTAAACAAACCTACAAGTAATATCAACTGCGGTATGCAAAATGAAAATATTGACAGACACAGTCTGAGGAGACTGTAACTGTCAATATTCTCTTGAACTTGCAGCAAGTGGGCATTGGGTTACACATTTTTGAAGAATTATCTGTAAACGGTGTTGTTGTTCATATGCGTTCGGCACATCATCCTCATTTATACACATCACACATGCATTTCATTTTTAAATCCCCGCTGCGTGTACTTTCATTTGGTCCCTTAGACCCCAGTTTGAGAAACAGTGTACGATGTAACTTAAATCTAGTGTACGTATTTATTCTATCTTAATAGCGAAATACGAGAAGTCTTCCAGCCAATCGTCGTTGCGCGGGACAGTGTTCGAGTCGCGTGACAAAGATAAGTTGTAAGTTCAAATTCACACGCGCGAAGCTTTTGCTGTTGTTTTGATGGCTTTTTACGTGTTTCTTTGGTACAAACATTTTTGTTTCTAATGATTATTTTTATGAGTTTCATAAGTATTATATGTAGTAAAAAGCTACAATGGTTTTAAATTCTAAAGAATATTATTGAAAATTAAATAATGTTTTAATTACCAGTCAATGGAGTCAAATTTTAATGCATATATAATTTTGCTCAGAAATAAAAAGTACGGACGTACTAACATTTCAGTGAAGAATACACTAGTAGAAAACTAAACCGAAATCAATTAACTTATATAGTTATATCTATATTAGTTTTCCTTCTTTTTTCTTTCTATCCTAATCCCGGAAAAAGATCCCGAGTTACAATTTCATTTTGTACTTGTTGTTATAGCTATAAGTACAAAAGCAATATTTACACTCACTCTCCAAGTCCGATGATTAGGCATATTATGTAATATAAATTCCTCGTGTCACGGTGTTTGTGGTCAAAATCTCGAAAACGGCTCGACCGATTTTAATGTATTTCTTTTTGGAATATTTGGTAGGTATGATAGCATTTTTCATTTATTCTATATCTGTATTTAACAAAAGAGATTATTGATATTGTGATATGATTGTTATCCCATGACTTAAGTCTACATAACAGACATTTATGAAATAAATATATTTTAAGTTTGACTTCACTCTCCTTTCCCCACCCTCCATTTTTAAGCTCAATTTTATTTCTTTGATAATTTGTATGGCAAAACAAAGTTTGCCGAGTGAGCTAGTTTACTATAAAATTATTTGTACAATGTACCATGTGAAGAGCCATCATTAGCGGTAGCTTGGTTATAACAATTTGTATATAAATAATATAATCCTCTACATATCAACAGATAATCTTTTTTCTTAACCTACGTATGCTTTCAAAATCTTTTTCTAAAACACATCACTTTTTTAAAACTTTTTGGCTAGGTTTTTTTTTGTTCATAATGTGACTAATACGTAATTGTAAATAATTTGTATGTTAAAGTAAATAAAAACACTAAAGCACTCGTTACACAATTTGTCTAAATGCTTTGCTTCTTCCTCAGCATTTCTTGTACACATATTGTATTACTTAATCATATATAAATGTTGGTGAAAGTTTCGGTAATTTGTAATTAACTGCTTAATTTTTACTTGTAGAAGACCAGTTTCGGATTCAGAGTATAGAAAGTAAACAGTTCCCATTATTTTTTCTTTTTAAAGACAACTCTCCCACTAGGAATAAATCCTGTGTCGCGGGAGACTATATGTCTATACTATATATACATGAAATGGACACAAAGGACACCCAGACTCAGAACAACAATTTGTGGATACCACAAAGTGTTGTCACATGTGAAGATCGAACCCACAACACTCAGCGCAGTAGGAAGCGGCGAGGTAACCGCTTAAACCACTACGCCATATTTGCAGTCAAAATATCAAAATATAGTATTCATATTTTACACAATCGAGATCAACAAGTCAATAAATTGTGAATTTTACTTTTCCAGTAACAAGAGTATGAAACCGTACTTGTCGAGAAAATTGATCATGCAAAAGCAAACTTTCGTGGAATAGAAGAGATGGTTATATTACAAGTCGTATACTTGCCAATAAGGCTATTACACCTCCGCTTCTGTACATACACAACTCTACATAATGCGCTGAGACCCGGTCTGTCTCTTAAAACCCTAAAATCAAAATCTCTTGCTACAAAACTGATCCTTCAGCTCCTTATACTGAAGGATGTTTTTTGGGTATAACGAGTGTGGTAAAAGTAATCACATAAATGTAATAACGGATAACACTGTTCAATATACATCGGCTAAAATAAAAATAAAAAATTAGTACGAAAATACAGAAATGTAAATTAAGAACAAAATAAATACAATAAAATAATTGTATAAATCAACCTCATGTCAGGATATCCGCGGCTCTGAAGGTCACTCGCGGCATTATGGATGACGATACCGTTAACCCAATAAAATTAAGGACGGATAATGCAATCAGTTTCACACATACAAACTAATATTCTCACTTTTCACACGATAACATTAATTGTTCACAACATTGCCGTGTATTATGACGGACGCAATAAGACTTAACAATAATTAACACAACAAAACTTTTCTAAACAAATATCTCCGAACAACGACAATATTATTATTACGATAATTTGTCGTGAGCGCATCTACAAGGACACAGAACAGCATAACACTCAGCGATTCGCGGTTACTAAGGGCCGACAGACTGTACATAGTGGATGAACTAATTCAAATCGCGTGTCCTACATCCTGATAACGCAATAATCAACATATTTCGTTCGATTCGAGTGTAGTAAAAGTGGCAACGTGTGATGTTACCGCGCCGCGTACAAAGCTGATCGCTGCCTGAGGTCAATGTAATATGACTGCATTTACACATGATGTTGCAAATTACGAAAACAAAAAAATTGACATGTTTCCAAACCACTGAATATATTTTGTTCAAATTTTGCAAAACGTCTAGAAATAAAATGCAGATTATGTGGGTTAAAGATTCGTCAAAAGAATTAAAACACATTGTAAAACTGATTTAAAGGTATTGTACTGTCGGTAACATTGAAAGTTATAGTAAAATGTACGAATAACTAGATAACAAGTATATTACGTAGTTTAGACGTAAAAATAATTGTAAATTTGAAAAATACAGAGCTCGTAATTTCTATTTCTTACTTAATAACTTAGTGTTTCTTTGCTTTTTACTTAACGCTTTTCTTTTGTACATTTTAGCAGCCTCTTTTAAATATCTTTCCTGTGCAAAGCTTTTAGTTAATTTGTTTCTGAACATTACACATTTAATAAAGAGTTTTATTATTCAGTAATTTAAAGTCCATATTTGTCTATGCGCTTCTTTGATATACTGGACGATAAGCTGATGCCCACTTACAGGACATCTCTCCGTTACCGTTTTAAACCTACGACATAGAAATTAGCTATAATTATAATTCTGCAGGGCGGTTTATTGAAAACCGTAAACCATACAAACTCATTAGTAAATAAATATATGGTACACATAATGGGGTCATTCATGTCAGTTCAATTCAATTCCTTATTTATTAATGACAGTATTTCTCAAACTTTTACCCTCATGACCCCTATTCAAATTTCAAGATATATCCGAATGCAATTTAAATGACTTTCGGGGCAATTATAAATTAAAAATAAATGCGAGTTACTTTAAAGAATATGTTGCTAGTTAATCACATATATTAATATCCAATACCAAATAGTGAACTAATTTAAATCCGTTTGTTTGTAAGGCAAAGTTTTTAGATAAAACACAAACAAACACATAAATTTATTGAAATTCTAACAAACGACGGTCCTTAAAAATATATCAGATAAGTGATCGATAATTTTTATCTCATTTCTTTCGCTAAATGCGCCACGATTGGTTAAATGAAGTACATTTAAATGTAAAATGTTCAGAAATTCCATACATATTGTTCAATGCATTCGTCTATAGTGATGATGGTTTGTTTCAGTACAGAACGAACTTCTTTGAACAAAATGGATGGATGTAGTGCGGCCACAGGTGAGGAGTCGAACAGTAAGTTACATATGTACATATATGTATATTTTTAAATGTATATTGATATATATTTGTATATTGCATGACAATTTGTTTTTTCTGCTTCTTATTTTCTTAAGGTGTGGGCTGTTAATGTAATATAAAACTTATGGATATCAAATTTAGAACTAATATCGTGGATCTTTACTGCGGGCTAGCCGTGTTTCGGGAAATATTGTATTGAGTGATAGATGGCACCTGTATCTCAAAAGGCAAGTGAGTTGCCGTTCTAAGCACCCCTTCCACCCCGTATTAGGGGAAGGGATTGCGCCTTCGATATCACTAGGTGAAATGGAACAAATGGAGTTCTTAAAACCGGTTTTCCGCGAGGCCGTTGTATCCAAACAAGCCGGCCTGGCCGGCTTGGCCGAAAGAACCGAGTTAGGTATAACCGATTGTGTATTGTATAATATATAAATACGTTATTCAGTTTTTACCACATTTGGATACTACATTGTCTTAATATTATTACTACATTCGAGAAAAAAAATTATGTATTTTAGATTTTAAATTACTCAGTAAAATGAAGCACGTGATTTTTCTAGAAAATTGTAAAAATATTAGTTGTTATTTTTATTGCATTTTAAAACAAACCCTATCCTTGTATGCCAATTTTCATGATTACAGATTTAGAATTTAAAACTAACATAATTATTTGAAATGGCTGCCCTGTAAAGTTCAATAATTATCAGATCCGACACTATTCTACGAGATGACACTATGTACATTGCCTAACGTTGCGTAACGTAAAAGGAGTTAACACATACGCATACCTTTGAATTACCTGGTATTTCAACCAGGGCCCCAATTCCGCTATTTTAATATTGTATCAATCGAGTGTCGATGGAGTGTCGTCGGAATAGTTTGGCACTTTTCGTAATCTGCTAACTAAATAAAAGACCTGACGACTTGTCAGTCTAAAGTACAAAATGTTATCGATGTCCAGGTTGACTGATTTGAAAATAAAAATGGTTTATCCGTTCATTAATAATACTATCTCTGTGTTCCAGGTTGATGCACTTTACAAAGTCATGAAAATTCACAAGAATGTTCCAGTTACGACGAAAGTATAAATATCACAGCTAACTAGCTACTGTCCGAGATGAATCGATAGTACTGACTGTATTATGCGTTTGTCTAAGTCGATACATCGTTATTTACAATTATAATGATACCTATATTATAAAGCTAAACACTTCACAGTACCGTAGACCGACTGTGGTTCATAAACGTATTCGTAGAAAGGTTATCTCTCAGTCAAAGAAAATATTTTTAAAATCCGTTTACACTGCAAAAAATATACTGCAGCGAGAACACATCTTTAACTGTCATCCTGGTTTTAAAATTCACAAAAAAGTCAGAAAGAACTGACACGTGAAACCTTCAACACAAGGAGCTCCGTTTAGTCCCAAATATTTTAATGATTTCTCGTCCTTTGAAAAAAAGTTTTAAAAGGTTCGTGACATCCTTGATGTGAAGCGTATTCTTGAAGATTTCTTATAATTAAGTGGCGTTTAAGTATTTGTTAACGACGTTGGCTGTTACGCATAATACGTGAATACAAATGCTGCTAAATTCACGTATTGATTCTTTCCACGCTGTTTATATTGTTAATTTTCTGTACTTACCTAAACTATGAATACCTGCATAATTTCTTTTATTATTTTTAATAAATGAAGTAAGTTACATTTACTTAAAGTTAATAAAACTATCATTTATTTACTACAACTTGTAACATATTTCGTTATGTATAGTTCGTATATTATATTTTGTTATAATCTAAAAAAAATCGTCTTAAACTCTACCCAAATACGATTTATATTAATTTCTAAGAAATTTCATAAAAATGTATGTTAATTCTGTACCGAGTTCCATCAAAACTGCTGTTTTCCATTTACCATATTTTATACACTAAATCTTTTTTTTTTAATAAATGCGGTGATTAATCGTATTCAGGGGTGGATGCAATTTTTAACTGGGGAGGGGGGGGGGGGTCTAGTGAGGAATCTATCCGCATCACTCTCTCCCCTCATGGTTTGCTACGGTTCTCAATTTTTAAGTTTTCATTTGGCTAGTTAAAAAATAAAATTCGGTGCTCTGTTAGCATTAGTTTTTCCCACATACCTACCCACATATTGTATTTATTAGTAATTTATGTTCCTATACACTGTTTATCCAATTCTGCATTTGTAACCTTTTAGTTCTACTCTAAAAGTGAGAGGAAACCTTTCGAGGTACCATTATGAAGTCTGACGTCATCATCATCAACAGCCTTGAATAGTCCGCTGGTTGGACGTAGGCCTCTCCTTAGAAAGGAGGTTTTAAGTTAGTATAGGGTGTGTTTTCAGTTTTTCTTCCCGTTGCAGTGCTGTTGTCCTACGTAATTAGCTCCCTTAGTCGACTCTTACGACACCTACTGGATAGTCTAACGAACTTTCATTAAATGTTGTTGTTGTAATAGTTTCTGGTTATTTTGTTTTAGATACACAAGCAATGTAAATAAATGTAGTGCCAAGGCATTCACAGTTATAATTTGTTTCATGGAAAATTACATATATTTTATTTCATCCAAATATTTTACTAAAAAACGATGTATCGATTTCGATAAATATATTCTAGCACGATAATATGCCTACGGCTAGTGTATCGATAAACAGAATTATCGTTATCGATAGTTTGCTTTTATAAATATAATTTTATCGAGACTGGTCAATTTAATGGGTTCAAAGATAGTAAAAAAAGCTACTTGTATTAATATTTTTATTTTGGATATCGGCCAAGTCAATTAAAAAGTTTTACTGTTAATATTAGTTATGCAATGTTTTGTATCCATAAATGTTGTTTCTTTTTGTATCCGTTGTATTGCAACCGAAACCTATTCAACCAATCTGTAAAAAATTCTTTCCCAGGGCGCTTGTTGTATCTTTGGACCCACGTGCTAGGTAGAAGTTGCGAGATAGTTAATTTTATGGATACACTAAGTTTGTATAGAAACACGTATTTTGTATAATAAAGCTATTAGTTTTTACAACAATGTTTTAAACATCAAATAGTGCTGCTCCACTGTTCAATGGTTATTTGAATGTTGTCATTGTGTAGGATAGGTTTTTTTTTGTGTTAGCAACACTGTAAACAACTTTTGAATCATAGTAGGAAAAAATTGGTTGTGTAAATTAGGTTAGAAAAGATGAAGAAGAAATGTTATTAGGCTGTGGTTTGTAACAGTCTTTTGGTATCGACGCCAAAAACAATACGTAATCAAGATTAAAAAAAGGTTTTTTCAACAGTAAATCACGGAGTTTAAGAAAATAGTACATAATTATGTTATTTTAATTATTTTATGAAATTGTGGAGCAGTGGAATATTTTTTTGTGAATCCCCAGAATATGGATGTTTTATTTACGTCGGAAACTTGTAAGTTCATTTGTGATTTAGTAAGTTGCAATCCTAAATTCCAAATTATGCCCAATGTAACAATTATGAATAAATATTTATAATGAATTATATTTTTTATTTATTAAACAAAACCCTTTTAAGTAATAATAATAATTTGACACATTTCACACGAATACTATGACTGTATTTCTAAAATACACAAATTATATCTGACGGAGGACCGGTGTCTGGGTTGTTTTTAAATAGTGTGACGTCAGCAAAGCTGATGTCATTCTTTAGATTGTCATGGTTTTCCCTTAGAAAAGCAAGTAGTAGTAATAACAACAACAACAGTAAATACAACTAGATGTCTACCAAGTTGTTACACACAGTCGTACATAGATCCGTACAGTAGTAAATAAAGACAACAGTAAATTCAGTTAGTGGTAGTAGGTAGGTAGTTTCAGAGGGCTCTCAACCGGTCAGAGGGCTCTCAATCGGTCAGAGGGCTCTCAATCGGTCAGAGGGCTCTCAACCGGTCAGAGGGCTCTCAATCGGTCAGAGGGCTCTCAACCGGTCAGAGGGCTCTCAACCGGTCAGAGGGCTCTCAACCGGTCAGAGGGCTCTCAACCGGTCAGAGGGCTCTCAACCGGTCAGAGGGCTCTCAACCGGTCAGAGGGCTCTCGATCGGTCAGAGGGCTCTCAACCGGCCTAAATAAGTAACGGAGTATGCGCAATGCAGCTCGTTTTTATAAGACGCATTGTTCGAGCACGTGTTTACATGTTAGATTGTGTTGTATTTTCTTGTTGCGCTTAGATAACACAATTCTTCAGGTTACTTCTTAACACTAACTATAATTAGAATCCATTGGGATCTACTTTAAATAAATCAAATTATTTTTATTGTGAGGTAGTTTGTAGTTGCTCCGATATATCCTACACAAAAACGAGATTTTGGACTTGATACAGTGAAAACGAGTGCTTTCTCTTAAAAAAGTAGTTGGAAATCCCCTCGGATACCACCTATCGGTGGCATGTCGGACTCGAACCGACTAAAACCGCACGCCGTCTCGGGTACTAATAGCCGGGGAACCAGGTATACCCTAGAAAGGTAGTATCTATTGCACCTAGTCAAACATTTTCCCACCACACAAAGGTAGATTAGGAGGCAATACCTAGGGCATTAAAAAAATTGAAATGAGTAAATTATTTTTATCTTGAATTTGTTCTTTCTCAGCTTTCGCTAGTAGTATGTTAGCTAAGTCAAGTAAATGCGACGGGTTCTTGGGAGAAGTTTATTAGGTCTATTCGTCTATTGCATTGTGTATTTGTTCGTCTATTTGCAGAAATTTTACAATCCTGCAAGTGTTTAAAATGGCAGCTTTATTATTATAAATAAATAAATTAGGTCCGCCATTGTACAATTGGTGCATATAGTATTGAAATAAAACAAGTTCCTTTCTAGCTCTTATTTTGAGTGTCATCATCATCATCTTTACTAGTCCACTGCTGGACATAGGCCTCTCCTTAGAAAGGAGGTTTTGGCCTACTATCCCACGCTAAATTCAACACAAAAATAATAATAATAAGTAATAACATATTACACAGGTAACGGACCAACATCGCAACTACTGTAAGCCACGAGACAAACGGCATTTGCGAACAATTTACAAAATAATTTTTCCCTGGCAGGATGCAAAATGTTTTTAATATCTATTAAATTGTCGCATTCTTCTGACAACATCATCATCATCATCAACAGCCTTTAATAGTCCACTGCTGGACATAAGCCTCTCCTTAGAAAGGAGGTTTTGGCCTACTATACCACGCTGGCCAGACGGGTTGGTATAAGGTTTGTGTCAAGTTTTCTTTCTCTCTGCAGTGCTGTTGTCCTGCGTAGTTTTTTCACGGAATGAATAGGGGTGGTGACACTCTGTATTCTTAATCCGTCACCACACGGTCTTCTGACAACATTGCCAGCATAAAAAAAGTATAATAATGTATACGGGTTCACATGGATCCTCCTCCCTTTTTCCGTCGGTAAAAGAAAAACATGTTTATGAATATTTTTTTATTAATTTCACAAAAGTATTCGTTAAAAGCCACAGTTTGAAGGCTTTTAAGCTGTCAAGCGATGACTGTTTAATAACACTCTCCCCCATTGTTTATAGTCAACAGTGAGCTAAAAAACAGGAATTCACAAGCTATCTAATAATCTACACCATAAACGTTTATCTTTATAGAAAATATTGACATACTTCATCCGATAAAAGGCAGTTGAAGCTTGTGTCGTCACGTCCATTGCGCCTAACGAGCTGAGCTCCACACACGAGCGCTTAACGAAGGTATCACCAACCGCTCCTGTGTTACCACTCTAAAATATTTATATATATTTTTTTGTATAAATAATGACTTTTATTACTTAAAGTGTGAATTACACTATCTTTACGTATTACAGAACAGCTCAGTGTACCATTATATTTATATACGTGTGAAGCGACACTGATTTCTAATATTTGAAATATACTTCGAAGCTATTTTGTGATTATTCTAACTCGAATACTTAAGTCTAACTCGAAAGAATACGAATTTCGAATAATTATTGCTTTCATCAGACTGTCAAAAGTCAAACCTGAATGTCGTGACTACCATTCAGTTCCTCATTGTGTCACTATTACTCGTGATGTTATAGTCGGGCGACGCAAGTTTACTTTCAGTTTAAAATGTTGAAATCTTAGTTACATTACGATTTTATGGCAATTATTATTCGAAATCCATTCTCTTTCAACCATACGCTAATAATACCTATATTTTAGAAGTGTTACAGACACAAAAACACTTTAATTAGCGATACATTTCGAGTAACTTTAGAACATATTTCACACGTCAAAATTCAAAAGTCAAAACTCGAAATTCAAGTCTCGATATATGAGTTGACTTCGAAGTGTATGAGTTGACTTCGAAGTGTATGAGTTGACTTCGAACTTATCTAACGTCAAACTTAATTCGAAATCTTTTACATAGGTCCCAATTCCCTTTTTTCCATTAGAGCTCTCTCTACGAAATTCTAACACCTACACAAGCTGCTAACGACAACTTTTTAGCCATATTTGTGTATAGGTATGGATGTAAACTGACCAAATTTAGTTTTTCTTTATGTAAACTAGGTTAAATACGAGCGGATTTGGATGTTACGTATAAATATATAATTATTGAAAGCTCAATGTGTTTCGAACACCCTTGTAACGATGAGGTTAGCAATTTTAATGGGTATAAAGAATTTTTTGTGAGTGACCATTTAAATACTAATAAATCAATATTTAAAGTAAATTTTTATTGCAAAATTTTTGCTTTAAATATCAGTTTTTATTAAATGGCAAATCATAGACTTACATTACATTGAAAAAGCCTATATATAAATATTATATAATACTCATTGAGGTGATTATACAAAAAATATTTATCTTTAGCAATCGAAATTCTCAATATCTTAAAGCTTAAGCAAAAATAAACTCTTTTTTTATACTCATAGGGTCCTATATTCGATTTAATTACACTACGAACGCAAGTTTTTTTTTAGATCAACGATTCTCTTACTGCCTAGGTACATACCGTGCTCAACACCAATTCTTTCCATACACACTGCCATATTACAACTATTAGCAAAACGAATGCTTATCCGTAGCGTGCTTACACCCTAGCTGGAAAACAAACTTCAAAACTATCCATCCAATAATCATAAAATATCTACCTTAAGTCTATTCCCATAAAGTACAATTATTTACAGAATAATCCACATCCACCCGAACTAACCACATAATTCTTAAACATAATTTTACACAAAAATCTATTTTAACATCGATAGTTTCTGTGGCGAAATATTGTGTCACATATAGAATTATAAATAGCGTTAAATTTACACAAGCTTAACATACCTACTCTATGGACTAGGAATTTTAAGGTAACCTTTAAGAGACAAAGAATTTGGTAAATATTTACGGTAGCTATCTAATGTAAATATAAAATTGTGAAGATATGGCAAGTACAATTTGAAATTTACATTCGACGTACAATCAATTACATATATCAGGCCTTAATTATTCTTTTGATATAAGTATATCCCAATAATCTAATCTACAATGACAGTAACTAGTTAAGTTAACATAATGTTTAGAAATTCACCTTTATATTCTATTTAGTTTGAAGATGCAAACTCATAGAATATGAACGAATAACTTTGTCAACATTGAAGTATAACTAGTTACGTATTACCTCTAACATAAAATCGACCAAGCTTTTTACAAATCAATTCACTTATCGTTAACGAGTGGTAATGGAGGATAATTCATTCAACTTTGGCTTTAATTATATATTATGTCGTTTTACAAAGATTATTATGCTTCTGATCCATCGAAAACTGTAGATAAATACTTTATAAAAACAAATATAAGGTATATTTGTTATAAGTAGTGTAACTACTAGATGGAAAAAGCTAGCTTGCCTAATTTTAATGACATCATACTAAACCAAAATGTTGATCAGATGATAATTTACGGATTACCTAAATGTTCTGTAGTATTTATAGTTGTGACGAATTTTATTTATATCCGAAAATATCAGAACCAATACATGCAAATGATGATAACTACAACAAAAAATTAACATTTTATGTGTATTTACAAATTCCAAGGTTCGCCCAAAAATAATAAGAAACAACTGTATAAAACGGTAAATCTGGGACTATATCGCACGTATGAAATTCTATTTTTCAACAACATAAGGCAGCCTATTAGCATAAAAACTAATAGATATGTTTGATGCAGTCGAATTTGTATGCAAATGACATTCCGAGTCATTGTCAAATTAGACTTTGATTGTTCCAAGTCATTGACATAATATGACTTCGATTGCTTTAAATATCAAAAGTTTGACTTGGACTTGGATTTTCAATCACATATTTACAATGTAATTTAACGTTAAGCAATACGATTAATACCGATCTAATCTTTAATAGGTAGTCGTTTTAATTCAGTCAGCCAGCATGTTTAGTTTTTTGTCGCGTAAACGGGGTTCATTCAAATTGAGATCAATTCACCCAGTCATATTAAAATCTATTGACGCTCATATCATTATTTATATTATTATTATTAATAGCCTGTATTTCATATACAGGCTATAAATAATAATTTACAATTCTATTATCAATTATATATATTTTGAATTCAACTAAAGGAGAGATTTTGTTTGTCTATCTAGACACTTTTATACCTGCATTTTGGGTAGGTAAGTAAAAAATGATTAAATTTGAGAAAATCCAAATCTAAACATGTCTCGTTTCCCACAAATCGATAAGTAAGCGATGACATCGGGTGTTGCGTAAGCAATGTATTACTGCGATGTATCTGTGTGGGCTTGTATGTCCGTGGTGGCCCCGCTCTCTGGCGGCGGCGGGCCGCACTCCTCGACCTGACACGTCGAGAGATTATCTGCAAATATGTTAAGTTTTATATTAACATAGATAAATAAGGTTGTCAAGTTAAAAAATAAAGGAATAATTATGGCCCAGTGACTGCTCCTTTTATTCCATGAACCACGAATTGGTATGAGAGGTACATGTAAATTTCACTTAAACGAAAAAATGCGATCAAGATTGGTCAACTCTGCTAAGGTGTCACAGGTGGGAATATAAAAGTGTGGAGAAAATGGAGTATACCGGGTGTGTGCGGCTCGTCGAGTCCCGTTCAGGAGGCGCGGCGGCCCGTGAGCGAGCCCACGAGCGACTTGAGCGCGGCGCCGAGCGAGGCGCGGCCGCCGTCGCCCTGCGGCGCGCCGCCGCTCGCCGCCAGCCCCGCGCCGCCGTGCGCGTCCAGGCACTTCTGGTAGCGCAGCTGTACGTACACATAGACACCGCTCAATACGTATACATCTAATTTTCCAACTCGATTACGAGAATCTAAAGCGAAATGTACCTTGCATGCGGCTTCAATAGTCTTGCAGAGAGCTCCCGAGGACGGCTCAGCGTGGAAGGCGTGAGCCACGAACTGGTCCTGGGCCGTGTGCACTATGAACGCACAACGACGGACATCGCGGCCGATGCCAAGGAAGGACAGGTAGCGCACGCGGCATTCCACTATAGGGGTTGTCTCCTGGAGAATGAATGATAATTTATATAGTTTCAAATAGTTACAGGGAGTCTCTTGTAATTCTCTGCTTATAGTTGAGTTAGTTAGTACACTTCTTACTACTTATTTATTTAGTACAATATTTCACTGTGTAATGTACACAGTGAAATATTGTAAAATGATCTCTAAATATCTAAATATACTTACAGTAATATAATAATAAAATTCTTATTCACTTTTAGACATTTTCATAAAAGATTTTTCTCCTATTCTCGAAAAATCATGTTTCATGACCGTTTTCGATTAGTGTTTTGGCTTGACCATTCCCGTAAGTCTCAACAAAGGCGTGTAAAGGTTCATGTGGACTCATAACTTTATGAGAAACAATTGTTATTAATCAGAATGATCAAATGGGCGGAATATTCTTAAAAAATCCTTTGGTCAATTGTGTATATGTAGTACAACCTACACAAGTGGTTCAATAAGATAAGTAACGCTGTAACTTACCCCTTCATCAGTGATTGTGATCATAGATGGCGCTACAGCAACGGCTACCGGACGCCATGCGGAGGGTGGTCTGGCAGCGGCCAGTCTGTCCAGAGCATCATTCAACACTCGCATGCCAGTCGCGCGAGGTACTTCTGCACTGCCCAAGTAAAGGGCTCTCACTGTTTTGCGGGGCTCTTCCATCGGAGTGGGGAATGCTGCTCCAACTATGAAATAAGTAAAAAAAAAACATAAGTACTTACTTTAAAATTTAGGTATTTTGATGTTTAGGTAGAAGACAATATAGGACAAAAAAAGGACAAAACAGAATAACAACAGCAAATAAACTTTTAGTCGTATTTTGCATAACGAAATATTGACTGTGCTCAGATAAAATATTTCTACAGATAAATTTACGTAAGTACTTAAATAAAAATTTAAGTACAAATGTTTATTTGTGTCCTGGGATCCCTCGTACAAGCTTTGCTTAGATTCGTTCAAGATGAACAGTGGAAACTAAAACAATTTGATTTGACATCCTATAATACGAGTATAAGAAGACAAAGGCAGAAAGCTGATTTAGTGTATTTTACTATTGAATAGCATTATGCAATCACCAAGATTTGAAAATCAAGGTTTGCGTTGCGTTAATATTTCTGAAGATGAAGAAATTTACTCATTATAAACTAAAAATTATTCTGATACAAAATTCAAATGCGAAAGTCAAATCAAATTCACGAGGTTCTTTAAATGAGGAGAAGATTAAGAATATTATGTAACTACTAGCTGCTCCTCTTTGTTTTTCCCACCGTTTATCAATATATTTCAATTTCATCCTACGGGAACACCTGTTAATCCAGGGTGTCAGCTACCTCCATACCAAATTTAATCAAAATTGGTCCAGTCGTCTGAGCGTGGAGAAGTAACAATCATACTAACACACACACTCACAAACATTCGCTTTAATAATATTAGCGTGATTTCATTTAGTTAAACAGTTCTAACACTATACCTCCTAATCTGCACGTACAGGCTACAATCTCACCAGATAGCGGTCTGGGGCGTCTCGTGGACGGCAGGTCGGTGGGCCTCGGCGGGGGCTGCAGGGACCTCTCGATCATAATGCGCTTGCAGATGTCCCTCAAGGCATTGGCAATGCTTCTGGCGGGCGCTTCGCAACGAAACACGTGACACATATGTTTGCGAGTAGCACGATCCCTTGCCACGTAAGCGAAGTCCCTAAATACAATATATTTATTATTTAACTAAATATATTCTGTCTTTAAATAAAAGGTAAAATAATAAATTTCTTAGTAATGATTTTAGTTGATGAGGCATGTTAGTAAATGTCCTAATATACAACTGCCTTCAGTGCCTATGATCAGTGGCATTTATGAGTAGGAATATTGTATAGAGAATTAGTTTCCGACTTCGAAATGACCTAGAAAATGGTTAAACGCCCCATAATCTATATTGGTAAATAACAACTTGTAAATGCCTGAACCGATTTGTCATTTTTTGTTCTATATTCCTTTAAAACCTATTCCGTTCTTAAAAAGGACAGAATAGATTTTCAAATAAGAAATTTATGATTGTTGTTTCCAAGTTTCCTGAGATTATTTGTCATGAAAACGATTTTAGGCTATTAAATATCGAATATTACAACTTCTGTCGGTTCAGCTAATAACTAATCATTTAATCTGCCTTGAAAAATAACTATACAAAAGATAAAACGAAATTTTATAATCCGCTCAAAGTGTGGCACAGAATCTGAATTAATATTACATTAAGACCATGATAAAGCCAAAATCTGATGTATTCTAAAAGCAAATGATCTATTACCTACAGAACACTGACACAAAACAACCTGAAATGAAAATAAGACTCCTAATGCCTAAAGAAAACTGTAGTAAAATATGAATTCGAAATCTACAAAATCTAAAGAATTCACATGACTTTTGCCACGAAAAAACTGGCGTATTCATACCTTTCACTATTCCGAGGGAGCGAAGTGGAAAAACAGAAGATTTTAGTTGAGTATTTATGAGTTTGTGTACCTAATTATTATGTGCGAGGAGAGACTTACCGGCCGTTGTCCCTCCCGACTCCCCATACTCGGATCGTGTGGATGGGCTGTGTGTGCAGTGTGTTCAGGCTCTCTGGGTCCATGAGTTTCAGGGCACCGTCGTCTAGGTCCATAAAAAGATCTTTGCCCTGTTGATAATTTTGAATTTGTTTTCAATGCTTAGTTACATAAATCAGTACTAAAACAGAGCTATAAGGTGTGGTTATATTATGTTATTGCTTTTTTTAAAGTGTTTTCATTCAACTCTCCACAAACGTCCACAGCAAAAAAAAAACATAAAATTTACTAAATTGGATTCAAAGGACGATGCGTTTCGCACATTTTTAAAAAATATTAAAAACCAAAAACTTTGAAGAGAACATAAAAAATAGGTGTTAAACTTTTTATTGAAACTAACACGTTCCGACTGCCCAATATGTCTTACAATTATGTTTTTATCAATATATTTAAAGATTGAAATGGCTATTTTGTTACTTGAATTCACTCAGTACTGTAACCGTAACGTTACGTATTTCCAAGCCATTGTGTTATTAATCGACCTTAAGTAAAAATAAAACTTCTCTCTCTACTCTAACTCTAACATAAAACTTAAGTGAATTTTATTGTTGATGAAGATCTCACTCGATCCTCATACTATGCTAGATAGTGTCCATTGACTACGTGAAAAAGTGCTTTGTAATTTGCTTGGAAATAGTTCACAATGAAGAACTGCACAACGCGCCATTAATGCTATAAGTCCAATAACGTGCATAGACGGCTCAACGTTACACAGAACGCGTTGTTTTTTTAAATTAGTGAGCCACTGCGAAACAGTCAACTGGTAACTGACCCAATAAATTGAAAGATAACTCACATCACCCCAACGTCCGACTTGATCAAGTAGATCATTACGCCCGAGGCTGAGGTCCACGATACATTTGTTGACGGCACGGCTAGACCTCTCCGGTGTGAGGTCTGACTCTGAGATTTCCACCCAGCCGAGGGACCGGACGAAAAACCGCACGGCGCGACCGTTGTCTGGCTCTTGACGGGCGGGGAAACTGCGGCGTCTGAGGAAGAAAAGGTTCTATTATAATCATGTATAAAAATATTATGTTGTCGCAGGCCCTTACAATTAAAGTGATTGATGTGAATGGTGTGACCAGCTAAAATTGTCCATATCTTTTAAATGATATGTCACTTTGATGATATGTCACTTTGATGACATGTCACTTTGATGATATGTCAATTCACGTGGCACATTGCTATTTTAGAACGTCATCATCAGCGCTTCTGACAGCTGACAATGTAAATATTTTACGAAATGATCACTAATAATAGACTAATACATGACTTTGGAAAAGCGGCTGACATGAGAATGAAACCACTGGTATTTAAAACCAAGCTTTTTGATGAAATGTTCGGCTTTCCTTCTCTTCCGTTCTACCAGCAGAGAGTGTGACGACAGGTACTTCATTATATTGACATGAGCATCATTAAAATAGAAGAAAACTCACTTGTAAGACATCTCCTCTTTTCGTTTCCTCTCTGCATCTTGATCCACGTGGTCGAGAGCTCCACTTGTGGTACTCCTAGTAACTGAGCTGGTCATCACGTTGCCCTCATACTTGGATACCTCAGAGAGGTTTGAACAGTCGCGCACCATGGAGATGCGCGACTCTTTTGCTTCAATTGGCGGCATTTTTGGTATTTCTCTTTGAATGGTGCCGCTCTTTATGTGCCAATAATATGGGCCGTCATTGTCTGGAAATAATTAAAAATAAAATTCGGATACTGCTTGTTAAAAAGTTACTTTAAACGTTCGGTTTCAATTATACATTAAAAGTAATAAGACCTAACCTTTTTTATTTTCAGGCAAAGGGATTTTTTTTATTCTTTATGCACAAGTAAGAGTTATACAATGGCGGACTTAATGTTACAGGCATTTTCTCCCAGTCTACCTTAGGGTGGTGCTAAAATGTGTAACTGGGTCCACTAGTTGCTATTATTTTTGACCAACATAATACCTATTTTAAAAGTAATAACGCACTTTAAATAATGGATAATATAGGAACACTTAAAAGTGGCGAGATACTGGTGAGACTTTTTTGGTCCTTCGAGCCGGACGTTACGTCGTAACGTTAAAAGTAAACTTAGTGTATAGTTTAGATATTGTTTTCTACCTTCATGTTTCTCCCATCCTGGTGGGAGCTGTGGCTCTTTCTTCGGCCTGAGTTTGACCGGTATCGCGTACAGGTCATCGTTAGGCCCTTCAGCAGAGTGAGGCACTGACGCTGAATGACTCTTCTCTGAGTCCTCGCGGTCTGCTCGCTCCTTCTCTGGAGGCGGCGACTCTTCTCCACCTTGAGGCGGTAAGATCAGGCCGGATTTGTCACTGCAAAGAAAAAAAATATGTTAGCACAACCCGTGTACTGGTAAACTTCACGATTATAGTATTATTTACCAGTCAACCTTTTGTTAAATTGTTTATAACTAATAAATAAGTAACAGAAGAATTACTTATTTAGCCAGATTAGGTTAAATTACTATTGGTCTCAAATAAAGTGAAAATCCTTCGGATTTTTTTATAAAATCCCATAATCCCAATTCTTGGAATGAGTTTTATTCTTTCATTCTCCTCCATCAATCATCAGTTCACTGTTTACTCGCTCTCTTGCCATCTCATTTGCAAAATAATGACATAAATAAGAGAAATCGTATTTGATCCTCGTCAGTCATTCATTCCTCTAGATCAGAAAGAACTTAGACGAAATCCCTGTCCAGCTAACGTAAATTCGTGACTAATGATTAATCAGTAAATGTACTTTACATTTACTGGTTAAACATTAGAATAAAATGTTTTATACAATTAAACATTATTCATTAGGTATGTGTTTCACTGTTATGTGTACCAAACTTTGAGTTATAAAAATAAACAAAGCGTTTACGTGACTGGCCGCGTGCGTCACTCGCTTAACATGAATCACGGTTTTATGAAGCGGTTTTACTAACGAAGTTAGCGATTTAGCAGTTTTTCCGCTTTAGTTAGTAATTAGCTATTATTATATTTATAACATAGTGTATATTACGCCCATTTTAAGCACAGCTATTTATAGTTTCTAGAATTATATTTAAGTATGTTCTAGAAGCTATGTATGACATACTTATATATATTTTGAATTATCATGCATTCGGTTGAATATATAACTCCAAATTTCCTCTATTTGTACACTTGAACACCACGGAAATAATATTCAACATATTGATATAAATAGTAATTTGCAATTAAATGTAGAATCCGAAAATAATAACAAAATAATAACCTCACATATCTCACACACGGCTGTCTGATCCCAAACTAGGCAGAGCCTGTGCTATGGTAACCGGACTGATGATAAACATACTTATATTATTCTAAATACATACATATTATAGATAAATGACACCCAGACACAGAACAAACGATCATGCTGATCACAGAAATATTTGGTCTGGGTAGGAATCGAATCCACGACCTTCGTTTTAGCAGTCAGGGTCACTAACCATTACACCAACAGGCCCGTCTAATCTAATCTGATTAACCATCAACCTAGCATTGCATGGGTTGCCATATTAACAAGTACCTACTATGAATATTTTTGTCAAATATTAGATTTAACTACTTTTATGTATAAAAAGATCTTTTAATATTATAAACCAAGAGGAACAGCAGTTTTCTTGTTAAAAACGCGTTTAAATAAACAGAGATATTAATTGCCAACAGATTAAAGTATCTTAAAAGGATTTATTAACCTACAAGCATGCTTTTGCCAACATCCTAAATTCTGTGTGTTAGTTTTACTAGTGAAAGGAATTATCAGCATAAACTAGGTACCAACAAGTTTAATTCCAGTTTTGTTACAGAAAGATTAGTGTTGCAATATTTTAACCGGTAAGTATGCTTTTACCAACATCTTAAATTCAGAATTTGTCTATAAACTATGATTATAAAAAATAAATATTAGCTACAAAACCCGCTTACGCTTCCTCTAAGCCCGTACCTTAACACAAGGTCGTTCTCAGTCCACAAACACGACCAATTACTTGATCGAGTTTAACTGACTCGCTAAAACTCTTAACTTAAATTACCTTTGTTCTTAGTGTGTCTTGCCAGTAAACTGGGACAATGGCCGCCTGTGTGGTTCTATTAAATTAGGAATTAGTAAAAAGTTAAGTAATCTACTAATCAACAAAGCCGTGTGAATGTGTATTCAAAAACGTAGCTGTACCGAGACAATGATAATTTCAATAATATAGGTTTTGTGTGTAAATATTAACTTTTAATAAAGTATCACCGACTTTAATGGTAATTAAAATCCCATTGTGATAAGTCCCATTAAAAAATATCTTATAAGTAAGTGTACACATGCAATCAGGTTCTCAATTCTGCTATTTTATGTTAACGCCAAGTCATTCTGTTGACACGCTATTGAGACATTGACATCGGTCAAAATATCGGGATTCTACTAACATAAATTATCACACAGTATCAATAGACTGTCTGTCTATACAGTATATGGTGATATCAACAACATTGCCGTACCTGGAAAATTGAAAAATATCATTTTCATACAAATTTAAAATGTACCGTTAATCAAACTGTTACAAAGGTATCGATGACATTTGAATCAGTGACAAGTCATCAGGATGACATTGGTCTGACATGATTAGGAGAATAGGAAAAGTTCAAAACTATTCCGACGACATTCCATCAACAGTCCATTGAAGCAATATAGAAATAGCAGAATTGAGGCCCAGATCGCAGACAGAAGCTAACGCATGTTTATTAAAACGTCAAATTTCGTTTATTTTTGGAGCGAAGTAACAAAACAAGCGAACAAAACATTAGAAGCAATATTATTACAAAATTTACTTTTGTCAGTGTTACCAGTGAGAAGTAATTATCCACATCAACAATCTGCGAACTCGCGTAACGACGAACACGATTCCGGTTTCGAATGTTACAAAATGATTGGTGTTGCAATAATTTAAAGAAAAACAATATCCTTTATGATTCTGTTTTTGTCGTACTTGAATTCAAATTATTCGAGGTAACTATACCTAATTAGGTAAATCCAGTAGAACAGATTATAAAACTCAGTTATTAGGTGTAGGTATTATTCAGTTCGGATAGCTAATACTTTATTATGATCTATGAATGTATTTTTTTTTAATCTTTGGGAGCAAATTACGCAGGACAACAGCACTGCAAAGAGAAGGAAAACTTTACGACTGTAATAGGAGGGATCTGGGGACTGCTGTTATTAAGACATCCGGAATTCCTCCTGCACAAACCCTATACCAACCCGTTTAGCCAGCATGGTATAATAGGTCAAAACCTCCTTTTCAAGGAGAGGCCTATGTCCAGCAGTTAACTATTATAGGCTGTTGAAAATAATGATGGGGCGTATTGATGGATGAATTTGTATCCATTTGTAGAAAGAAAAACGACAGGCAAGTGTCGCATGTTTTGAACTAGATATATTAGTGGTCTGATTACTGTTTAAAATAACGTACCTTATTTTGTTCACGGGTGAGGACGCTTCATCTTCAACTCTGCGAACAAAGGAAAAATAATTTTTAATTTCTAATTAACACAAAACACTTTCCATTTTATTAGTTTGCAGAGAAAGCGAAGTGTGCCACATGTTACTAGAGCACAAAATTATAAAAATACTAGTTTTTGTCCGCAGTTTTGCCCGATAATGAGTTTATAGTCTATGTGGTATTCAACTGGGTATCTAATCTAAAACATTCCGTATTAGTTATCTCAGTACTGTTGAATAACAATGACAAATACACTAATAACCTACCTGGAAAATATTTCACTGGAAATTATTAAATCTTCGTTATTTATTGAAATATGACTATATTTAGTAGATTTTTTAAATAAATTCAGCAAAAAAAATCGTCCATTCGTCATGCTACAGTTTTTTAGACTATTAACGCCCGTTTTTATTTTAATGCGTCCATTTTTCTTGCGATCTAATTACGATGTAGGTATAAGTTACAATATAAATAGAAGTTATGCCTAAAGTTTAGACAGCTGTTGCGTAGAACAACGAAATATCAATCTACCCTCAATATCTTAACACGCGAACGTCTCAGAGAAAACAGTAAAAAAGGTTCTTCACCAAACTTGCGCCCATTAGACAGCCAAATAGCCTATTCTAAAGATTCCCACGTAATTTAGCAAAAGGAAAGAGGGGGGATTGAGTGCTAACAGCCAAGTTTGGCGAACTTGCCGCACTTGAAATATATTTGCGCAATAACCAAGTTTTAAAGTATATCTAACTTTGCTGTCTCAACGTGAATACGATTTTAAATATTTTGAAATGGAGTTGCTATTGAATAGTTCACTAGTTCCTACATATTTTACAATTTAATTTAAATATTAAATGATTTTAAATTTAAACCATAAAAGGAACCTTTTCAAAGAAATTTAAAATTTAAAATAAACGAAATAGATGTCAAATTGACTTCTTTATTTCATTCATTTCAAGAAAATTAAAAATTGTGGTCATTTGTGAAGCGTAAGTAAATTAAATAATATGTTTCTTCGGTTATTTTTAATCGTTAAATTAACATGCACAGAGCCAATTTAGATCATCATCGACAACCAACAGTTCGGTTTCCTTATTTGTAAAACTATTAGAATAAAAAACCAACCAATGAGCAGGGAACAGAAAAAAAACTCGTAAGTAATCTCCGTTATGAATCTTAATTATGGTTATTTTTAGGCCAGTAAAAGATCTTATATAAGTAATAACATGTTCTACACTTTATAATAGTTAGTTATACACAAAGAATACAATGTTAATATGATATGAGGCATTCAGTAATGTGTTACAAATGATTGTTAAACCGCCCTTGAGTTTCAAACAATAGATCACCTCTCCGTACATTGCAACACTTCATATTATACATTATTCTAGTTTCTTGATCGTACGTATTTATGTTCTTAGTTGATATTACATATTTTGATTTTCATCATCATCCACGGCCTTTACTAGTCCACTGCTGGACATAGGCCTCTCCTTAGAAAGGAGGTTTTGGCCTGCTATACAACGCTGGCCAAACGGGTTGGTATAGGGTTTGTTTCAAGTTTTCCTTCTCTCTGCAGTGCTGTTGTCCTGCGTAATTTGCTCCCTTAGTCGCTTCTTACGACACCCACGGGATGAATAGGGGTGGCGACACTCTGTATTCTTAATCCGTCACCACACGGAGATTTTTGAATTTAATGGAGGTTAAAATATATAGGCTTGGCTTTGTTCGTCGACGCTTGAAAACCTTTGCGTCGTATCATTTCCCTAAATAAATTCACTAAAATTAAACCAAGTTTATATTTGGATTTGTGACATTTCCATAATATAAATTGTATTTATATCTTTTACGATGTTAATTTGTTACAGAATAGGTAGAAAACGCGCAAGCGGTTCGTGTGGTGACGGATTAAGAATACAGAGCGTCACTACCCCTATTTATCCCGTGGGTGTCGTAACACCCGACTAAGGAAAAAACTACGCAGAACCACAGCACTGCAGAGAGAAGGAAAACTTGACACAAACCCTATACCAACCCGTCTGGCCAGCTTGGTATAGTAGGCCAAAACCTCCTTTCTAAGGAGAGGCTTATGTCCAGCAGTGGACTATTAAAGGCTGTTGATGTAAGGTAGGCGTGTTTGGAGGCTCAGACTACCTATGAGAAGTCAATTCGAGATACAGGTATAGGTATGTAGGCCTCGAGTTGTGACTTAGATTCTGCAATCTATATCCCTTTTCTTCCATTGCCTACTTTAACTTCTTAACTACACTTCCCTTGCAATTTCCCTTTCTAATCTCTATCTCTTTTCATGCAATAGTTAGATAAACAGACGGGTCACCTAATGGTAAGTGACTCTCGCTGCCAGGGTTACCTCCACCGTCCTTTGAGTTCCCTCTCTTAGGTCTTCGGTAGACTTACTCGGTGAAAGCAAAGAAAATATTGCTCAACATTTGTTTTCTGTGAAGCATCTACTTTTTTATAGAACAGTTCTTTTAGTTCTCCTGAGCTGCAGGTGGTTATGGGCAACAGTAGTTGCTTGCCATTAGGCGACCCGTCAGCTCGTTTGCCCCCTCTTCCATAAATATTAGTAGAAATAAAAATTCGAAATGCAAAAGCTACCATTGAAACTGTTAGAACACTGTAGATGTGAAATTATAAGGAATTCTATTACAACGTGCGCAGAACAGTACGTGACGATCCACTTTAATTTCAACCTGAAATATGGGAGCACGAAGCCAAGAATTGAAGACAAAAGACTTTTGCTGGAGTCACGAGTTCAATCTGGATAAGTATCTGAGACAAAGGCTTTTAGCACTTACCACACAGGATGCACGCTTAGCTGACAATTTCGAGTATTGCAAGGTTTTAAAGCTATTTTTTTTTTTGCAATGGCAAAAATTTGTATTGTTAGCACATGCTGGCAATTTAGAAAAAGGCGTCAGGTTCTCCCCGAATAGACACCATGCTTAATCAGGCCCTATCCCCTCCTCCCTCTCAATCGCGGAGTGGTGACCCAAATTACTAGTGTTAAAATATTGTGACGACTTCTAAAACGAAACGCAACTTCAATATCATGTAACATAGACACACCGAACCACGGAGTTCCCAAAAATTATTAGCTTTTTACGATATTACATATAAAATACATCCTCAGTGACATTCTGTATACTGTCAAATTCATTACACGAAACCAATTACGTGAGTAACTCTACTCTCTTGTCATTGAATTATCTAATTTATCTCTACCACTATAGAAACGGAAGTCCATTGCAACTAAAACGTAGATAAGTCCAAAATACCCTTGGTTGGAACGAGCGCCATAACTTTACGAACCTGCAGACAAAGAGTGCTCGGTCCATTTGGTGAGAAAAGTTGTGCATTTGCTTGTATATTAAATCTACAAGGTTGATTCGTATCCGTCCGTCGCGTGTTTGAGCCAACAATGTTACTTGTGCCGGTACCTTTATCTGAGTCACTGTTGCTATGATCTATAATATTTCTCATGGCCTTATGGCCAATTGGGTGTAGGAATATTGGCCTAGTTAGTAAATCTTTAAATTTTAATCCTCAGAAATCTAGTTCAAAACATTATTAAGTCACAGGTGTTTTATTTTGAGGTTTTTGAGATTATGGCACGGGGTATAGTACAAAAATGTGATTCTTAATTCCATACAATTATTGAAAGTAGTTTAAAGCAAAAACAGGAGAACAATTCGCACGACTCAAGCGTTGAATTCATAGCCTTACGATTTTGCTGATATCACCACATAACTTTTATCATAAAAATATATTCCTTTACCAAACAAAGGGCAACATTTTTGACAAGTGCAATCTCTTCCAGGTAACTTTAGGATGGACTAAAATGGTTCGGAGAGGCACTAGTAGTTAAAGTTTTCTAGTCTAAGTCTTTTTTTTAGACAACTCCCGCACTAGGAGTAAATCCTGTGTCGCGGGGGACTTTACAAACATACATGAAACTTACACAAAGAACACCCAGACTCAGAACAACAATTTGTGAATCACACAAAGTGGGGATCGGACCCACAGCACTAAGCGTAGTAGTGAGCGGCGTGGCGACCGCTTAAACCAATACGCCATCCGTGCAGTCTATTTTAGTTCATTTTAGTTTTGAAAACGTAATTGCTAATGAGTATAAAAAGCGATAAAAATAAATTTATATATACATAAAAAACAGAACCAAATACATACTTATATATACTTACACATATGTACATATGTAAATACATACACATAATTAATAAGTATATTACATAAAAAGAACCAACAAATGAAATATCGAAATACATCGCTGGCTTGTTAAAAACATTGCTACCCATATACGCAGACAAAAGGCAATTTACTTCTGCTGGCTTCTCTTAATTAAATTGAATATTGTATAGTCAACTGGTGCAATAAACTTGAGGAATGATGACGTCATGTTCTCGAATGCATTCTAATATTGAGAGACGTGATCACAATCCAAATACTTACTTATAACTTCCTGAGCTAGTTTTACCCACTGGATAAGGAATAGATATAAAACAGCCTCAGAGAAGAAATATAAAGAATAAACGGCTAAATCTAAATTATCGTGGGAGAATGCACGTGTGGCGTAGTGGTCGCCACGCCAAGCCACAGGAGGAAAACTTGACACAAGCTTTATACCAACCCGTCTGGCCAGAGTGATATAGTAGGCTAAAACCTAATAAGGAGAGGCCTATGTCCAGCAGTGGACTATTAAAGGCTGTTGATGATGATGACAAATTGTTGTACCGAGACTGGGTGTTCTTTGTGTCCGTTTCATGTATGTTTGTAAAGTCCCCGGCGACACAGAATATATTCCTAATGCCTAATGAGTTGTCTTTTTTAAGAAAGTAAGAAACAATCTTACTTCAGGGTATACGGCAAAGATCTACCACGTGTTGAGTAATGCTTTCATTTCACCAAGTAACTGAACTGAGAGAGAGGCGAAATTTCCCTCTCTTTCCTCCAATTTAGGGGGGAAGGGGAAT